GGGACTCGTAGGAGTCTCCTCCAGCACCACAATTCAAAGGCCTCAATCCTTTGGCGCTCAGCCTTCCTTATGGTCCAGCTTTCACAGCCATACATTGTAACTGGGAAAACCATAGCCTTGACTATACACACTTTTGTTGGCAGGGTGATGTCTCTGCTTTTTAGTATGCTGTCTAGATTTGCCATAGCTTTCCTCCCCAGGAGCAAGCATCTTTTAATTTCTTGGCTGCAGTCCCCATCTACGGTGATCTTGGAGCCCAGGAAAATACAATCTGTCACTACCTCCATTTCTTCCCCATCTATTTGCCAGGAAGTGATAGGACCGGATGCCATGATCTTAGTTTTCTTAATGTTGAGTTTCAAGCCAACTTTTGCACTCTTCTCCTTCACCCGCATCAAGAGGCTCTTTAGTTCCTCTTCACATTCTGCCATTAGAGTGGTATCATCTGCATATCTGAGGTTGTTGATATTTCTCCCAGCAATCTTAATTCCAACTGGTGATTCATCTAGCCCCGCCTTTCTCATGATGTGCTCTGCATATAAGTTAAATAGACAGGGCGACAGTATATAGCCTTGCCGAACTCCCTTCTCAATTTTGAACCAATCTTTGGTTCCATGTCCAGTTCTCACTGTTGCTTCTTGACCCGCATATAGGTTTCTCAAGAGACAAATAAGATGGTCTGGGACTCCCATCCCTTTAAGAACTTGCCACAATTTGTTGTGATCCACACAATCAAAGGCTTTAGCATAGTCAATGAACCAGAAGTAGATGTTTTTCTGGAACTCCCTAGCTTTCTCCATGATCCAGCGTATGTTGGCAATTTGATCTCTAGTTCCTCTCCCTCTTCGAAATACTGCCTGTACTTCTGGTAGTTCTCGCTCCACATACTGCTGGAGCCTAGCTTGTAGGATTTTGAGCATAACTTTGCTAGCATGTGAAATGAGTGCAATGGTGCGGTAGTTTGAACATTCCTTGGCATTGCCCTTCTTTGGGATCGGAATGTAAACTGACCTTTTCCAATCCTGTGGCCACTGCTGAGTTTTCCAAATTTGCTGGCATATTGAGTGTAGCACTTTTACTGCATCGTCTTTTAAGATTTTGAATAGCTCAGCTGGAATACTGCCACCTCCACTAGCTTTGTTGTTGCTCAGACTTCCTAAGGCCCATTTGACTTCACATTCCAGGATGTCTGGCTTGAGGTCAGTGACCACCCCATCATGGTTGTCAGGGACGTTAAGCTCTTTCTTGTATAGTTCCTCTGTGTAATCTTGCCACCTCTTCTTAATCTCCTCTGGCTGTGTTAGGTCCCTGCCATTTTGGTCCTTTATCATGCCCATTTTTGCATGAAATGTTCCCTTCATATCTCCAATTTTTTGAAGAGAACTCTGCTCCTCCTTATTCTATTGTTCTATTTCTTAGCACTGTTCATTTAAGAAGGCATTCTTATCTCTTCTAGCTATTCTCTGGAATTCTGCATTCAATTGGGTGTATCTTTCCTTTTCTCCCTTGCCTTTCGCTTCCCTTCTTTCCTCAGCTATTTGTAAAGCTTCCTCAGACAGCCATTTTGCTTTCTTGCATTTCTTTTTCTTTGGGATGGCTTTAGTTGCCACCTCTTGTACAATGTTGCGAACCTCCATCCATAGTTCTTCAGGCACTCTGTCTATCAGATCTAATTCCTTAAATCTGTTTGTCACCTCTACTGTATATTCATCAGGGATATGATCTAGGTCATACCTGAGTGGCCCAGTGCTTTTCCCTACTTTCTTCAATTTAAGCCTAAATTTTGCAACAAGAAGCTCATGATCTGAGCCACAGTCAGCTCCTGGTCTAGTTTTTACTGACTGTATAGAGCTTCTCCATCTTTGGCTGCACAGCACATAGTCAGTCTGATTTCTGTGTTGACCGTCTGGTGATGTCCATGTGTAGAGTCGTCTCTTGGGTTGTTGGAAAAGAGTGTTTGCTATGACCATCGTATTCTCTTGACAAAATTCTACCAGCCTGTGCCCTGCTTCATTTTGTACTCCAAGGCCAAACTTGCCTGTTATTCCGGTTATCTTTTGGCTTCCTCCTTTAGCATTCCAATCCCCCATGATGATAAGGACATCATTTTTGGGTGTTAATTCTAGAAGGTGTTGCAGGTCTTCATAGAACCAGTCAACGTCAGCCTCTTCAGCACCAGTGGTTGGGGCATAGACTTGAACTATTGTGATGTTGAATGGTTTGCCTTGGATTTGAACTGAGATCATTCTGTCATTTTGGAGATTGTATCCCAGTACAGCTTTTCCTACTCTTTTATTGACTATGAAGGCTACTCCATTTCTTCTGAGGCATTCTTGCCCGCAGTAGTATACCTGATGGTCATCTGAATTAAATTCACCCATTCCTGTCCATTTTAGTTCACTGATTCCTAAGACGTCGATGTTCAGTCTTGTCATCTCTTGTTTGACCACATCCAGCTTGCCTTGATTCATGGATCTTACATTCCAGGTTCCTATGAAGTATAGATCTTTACAGCATCGGACTCTCCTTTCACCACCAGATACATCTGCAACTGAGTGTCCTTTCGGCTTTGACTCAGTGGCTTCATTCTTTCTGGCACTACTAATACTAGCCCTCTGCTCTTCCCCAGTAGCATATTGGACACCTTCCGACCTGAGGGGCTCATTTTCCGGTGTCATATCTTTTTGCCTTTTGGCACTGTCCATGGGGTTTTCACGGCAAAGATACTGGAGTGGGTTGTCATTTCCTTCTCCAGTGGATCACATTTTGTCAGAGCTCTCTGCTGTGACCTGTCCGTCTTGGGTGGCCCTGCACGGCATAGTTCACAGCTTCATTGAGCTACGCAAGCCCTTCACCACGACGAGGCAGTGATCCATGAAGGAGAGAATATGATTAAGTATGGCTAAATCTGTATCCAACTCCATGTGTGTAGGACTTCTTTCTTAATAATGCCAAACACAAGACTAACCAGGCCTGGTCAGTGGGGAAATTCCCATAATCTCTTCAAATGTTAGCTGAATGTGTGAGAGGATTTGAATGTAGAGCATGGATAAAGTGTGCCTCCAAGTTCGATTGAAAAAAGTGTACTTCAACTGGCTGACACTGTTACAGGAAAAAGCTTACACATCACTGAAAGCAGAAGGCAAATAAACATAAAGGATAAGATCCAGCCAAAATGATGTACTTTTAAGCTACTGATTTTAACAGAAGAGCTGTACTATCTTTTTATGATTTTCTTCATTCTCAATATTTGTAGGCTGCTCTACAACAAAAATTAGGGAGATTTACAGAATAAGAAACAAGTTTTTTTTTATTGTTAAGAAAGTGATACAATAACATGAGATGCATTTTCTTCCCTCTCTCCTGACTGAGACTGATGAGACATCAAAGAGTTTAACGTAGGCTGGAGCTTCAGCTTCACACCTGAAAAGGCAAAAACTAAAGAGGCACTTGTTCATAATATGTGATTACAACGTGCAATTTGGGACTCTCAGGTCCATTTTCAATTTTTAAACAATGTATTATGTATAGAAAAAGTATATTAAACTGGACCATCATGTATCTTATTGTTAATCAACTTCACACACATTTAGCTTCAGTGGTACTACAGAAACTAGTATTTTCACACACCTCACTAGAGCATCAATTTACACAAGGGGAACAGAACCTGTGGCCCAGCAATCATTGTTGGACTCCAGATCCTTTCACCTCCAACCAGCATGGCTAATGGTCAGGCATGATGGCAGCTGAGTCCAATCACATCTGGTCACTGCTGTCCCTCTCTTGTTATGTTTTTGGTCTAGCAAACAAGACAGTCTCTTGCCCATTCTGCCATGACAGACCTATAACCATGTACATTTGGTGCTCCTAATGCTGGCATTTAGCCTTAGATAAGGAAGTTCTCAAGAGATGAATGCATACTTGTCTCATTTACCCTTGTCTTTGCAGCCTGTCTCCAAGGTTAAGCCTAAGAAAGTTCTGGCAACCTGATTGCCAATGTATCATTGTGATATCCCAGCCCAACCCCCAAGCAGGCTATCCACTGCTTTGTAAATTAACCTAGCAGCTTCATTTTCCATCATATGTGGAAATAAATAACCAATAGGTGTTGATGAAAGGAGAAAAAGATACATCCAGATACCTTCTTTCACAAGGCAAATGTATGCTGATATACTATTATATCTGTATGAAAGAAATTCAAATGTAAATACACATTTAGAAATGAAGCAAAAAGGAATTTGCTGTTACATTCAGCAGGGGTGTTCAACATCAGGCTGTGGGCCAAACCATACTTCTAGAATTCCCCAGGTAGCCTCACCCCTTTCTTGAGAGCACCAACCATTCATGATTTTCCAGCTTGCCTTGTTTTTCTCCCATTCTAAATAGTTTAAATACCTTTCCTATTACTTACTTGGGATATAAATTAAAATAAGCTGATAGTATGTCAATGTCACTTTTGTTCTACTGTTTGTCATTTGCCCTGTTCACTACAGGAAAGTGACCTCTGAGAAGTTCTCCAAAATTGAATTCTATCCTTAGGCTGAAAGAGGTTCAACATCCTTGACTCCAGGAATTGTGGCCCAAATTTCAGATTTTACCATTTGTAAATGGGAACTACATTCCTTTGGCAGATAGGTTTCCTATACACATTTTCGCTAGGTAACAGTAATGGAGGGCAAAGGAGAACATCCTGAACATTTTCAAGAGACTCCTACCTGCAACTCATTCCCACCCTCACTCCCAGTCCAGGCTATTTTCTTTCCATCTACGTTTATTTCTACTGCCCCTCCTGTTCAGGAAAAATGAGAAAAGCTTAACAGATAGTTAAACGCCCCTCCCACCTGTCCATGTTTCTCTGCAAATTCTCTGCATGCTTCACAAATCCTGCATTAGTTTTATACAGCAAATACATAATTGAAAACAAGGTCTACCATGCAGTTCTGTTTTCACTTGTGTAAAACTTGTTCATTGTTTGTGAACACTGCTACATATTTCTGTTCTCTGCTGCAAAAACAAAATTAAGGTGAAATGGGGAGAAACTACAACCAAATTCTTCTTTAAAAGGAAGACAGTCATTTTTCTTCTTGCTTTTCCCAGTAACTCATCATTTGTTGCATTATTGTTGTTTTATTAGGATATCTATAGAAGAAGGAAATTCAAATGATAGGTCCAATTGTTGGATTACCAGCTAACACTGATAATCCATCTGGAGATTATGTTGACTTCCATTCTGATTACTTCCAATCCAAATGTACTAGCAAGATAAACATGTGTAGTACAGTAATCACTGTGCGTGTCCAGCAATGATAACTGTAACCCCACCATATCAGGTGGTTCCCTTCCTAGAAGTATTTCTTTTACTTCTCATTTAGTGCCACCAACAGTAGGGGATGTAGCTGTCTTGAAGCATCCTTAGGAATTACATAGATCCATGCAACCCCACAGTAAAATGTTTCATGTTTCAATAAGCAATCGATCAGTTTTCACAACAAAGCTAGATCATCTTGGGTTTTTAACCCACTATGAGACATGGAGCATATCATACATGTGCAACTGCCATTTTGATATGGAACCCTAATCCCTCTTTTGCCCCTTAAGCGACACTCACATAACCATCAATTAGTAGTAGGGTTATGTACACCTGGCAAATACTACAGCTTATCATGGGTTAAATAACCCTTGATGACCTCACTCTGTTATAAGAACCCTGTTAGTAACTTAAGATCTGTAGCCTTTCCATCAGGCTCTTTGAGTGATTAACAAGCATCTTTTTGTAGTAGCCTGCCTTTTTTTTTTTTTTTTGTCCCACAACACTGACCACATCTAGTGCAGGAGGTAGGAGGGTTTCCATGTTTGATCCAGCAGTTGTTCCTCTTTTTAAAATTCCCAGATATATGCAAACACAGCACATAATCATTGTATAATATCCAAGGCACAAACCGGGCATCTATTGCTTTGCTACTGTGTTGCCATAGGGCTTTGTTGCTGTTAGGGCTTGTGTACTACAGGCACCTCACAACTGCTGTGGAAATTTAGGGGGAAGAATGAACTGTGTCATTCCTTTGTGTTGCATATTCTGGGGGCTGCACAAGTCTAGCACAGATGTGCTCTTGGGCATGATGGGAAAGGAAGAAATGCAATCAGCCAAATGTGAAACCACAACAGAAAATATGCTGATTGGTTTGCTGCTTCTGTTCTAGAGTAGGGTTGCACGTTGCCCACTTCTGGTCAGGAGAGACAATGGAACCAATTACCCAGAGAAATTATAAGCTGTCCTTTACTGGAGGTCTTCAAGCAGAGGCTGGATTGCCATCTGTAGGACATGAGCTATGGAAGTCCTACATTGAGCAGGAGTTGGCCTAGATGCCTTACGTCCTACGAGATTCCATCCAAATCACACTATGTCCAAGGTTCAACAAATTCTGCTGTCAGAATGCACATGCATTTCAAGGCTGTCTACTGCTATAGCCCCGGCTGACTGTTCAGGAAAGAGATTCAAACACAAAGTGGCTGGTGATGTCTCTACCCAACAAAAATATGTTAGCAAACTCTCAAAGTGGCTTGAGTGGGTAGTCATTACATAGTACTTTTGAAATGTTTTGATCCTGCTGTCCTTTGTGGATTTTTTCCTCCAAAACAGGCACAGAATGTCATATTTGTGTCATGCCTGATTGTGATCAGCTCAGGAGCCAGGGATGTGCATATGTTTCATTAATCGTCTCCTGTGTGGGATCTGTCTGCAAAAGAATGTTGGAATGAAAGTTGGAAGGAAGGGACTACGATAAACAGTGATTTGTTTTACTGGCAGGGATGAAAGATCCTTTATTTCAATCTTGTTGGGAATATACAGTACATGTGTATTAGGTGATCAGCCATTCTGGATCAATAATAGATTGATGGCTTAAGCATTATAAAGACAGTTATTGAGAAGGGCTATTTTGCATTACCTGACAGGTAAGTAATCCTTCTGTAAGAGCAAGAAGACTGCGAATTTTTGACAAGAGGTGGGATGCTTTGTGGACATATGGAGAGCTGAAATGGTCTTCATCACTGTGGAGGCTTCTGATGGATAAATCAGAATGCATTGATTTCATGTCCTGTTTTGACAAAGCATATAGTGAAGTAGGTTAGACTACCAAGAAGACCAGGTGAATTAATAACTCAGGCACTGTGAACAAAATATATATGAAAGCAAATACATATTATGAGGTTTTGATCACCCTGGTTAGTGTCAGGAGAAAAAAATGGACTTTTAACATTTATGATTGCCCCAGTCCAATTTTATAATCTTTTGTAAGCTTCCCAGAAAGTTTTGGCTATTGGGTGGGATAGAAATGGAACCAACTAATAGGGACTCTAATTTAAACTAGCATTTCTCATGTGTGAAAAATAGATGTTAGCTTACCATACGGGGCTTTAGCAAAATGTGTTTCTTTTTCCATTTGGCAAAAGAAGGTGCATCCTGCAGGAACTGCTCTCCTTCATCATTCCCTGCTGCCACAGGGAGGCAATGGCCCAACTGAGACTTGCAGCTTTTACCAAGTTTCATGGATCCCAAAGACTGGGTTTTTACAGTTGCACAAATATTAGGGCTAATATTCACTTGTACAAATGCAATAATTCTTATTAATTAATACACACAAGTGTTTATACGCATGAATGTGGATTAGTGCATTTTCACAAGAATGTATTAGCACTAATGTGCACTTCTGAATTAGCACAAGAAGAATGAAATTTTAAATATAAAATTAAATTCCATCAATAAGTGGACAAACACATGTACGATACCTGACAATCCATCAAAAGCAGACCGAATGGATTTAATCATACATCTCCAGCTATAGCTAGAGCAGCTTTCTTTGGTCTGCTGTAGCCCAGCATGCAGTTAGGCAGAGTTAGATGCAATCCAATACTCTCCACTCTCAATTCACATAAGTCTCAAAAACTCACAGGCATATGTGCATCTAAGTCACAATGTGAGGCATGCTCTCTGCACTTTATATAGCTAACCTGTTTCAGCCACCTAGATGGAAGTGCCATGGAGGTGTGGGGAAGGAATCCAGGTTGCTTCCTTCCTCCTCACCCTCTGATATGCCTCTTTTTTCTCCTCTCTGAGAGCAATTTCCTGGTTTGGAGAGGCAGCCAACACAGTTCAAAGCCACAGAATGGTGCCCTTAAGACGTCACATCTAAATTCTGGGCTGGTTTGTGGGCCAATGCTGTGATTGTCCATGTCATGGCATCAGTAGACCAGAAAACTGACCATACCAAAAGAAACCTTCCTAGTACGTGCATCTTCCACTCTATTATTTCTTCTTTCTTTTTCAGCTCCTCCTGCTGTAATCCAACTTTATGTCTGAGGAGCTGGATCATTTGATACTGCATCTGCTCCTAATAATGAAGATGGTATAACAACATCACCTTAGGTCTGTGGCATGGCTCTTGCATATAAAAGCTGATTGCAAACAGTCTTCATATCCACAGCCTTCTCTAAAGAAATGTTTTTAATTATTAAATGATTCACTTTTTCTGAGCTACCTAGAACTCTACAGATACCATGTGATGTTTTAAAATGAAAATCCTCTCTCCATCCCACCTCCACGAAGTATAATTCAGTATGGCCATTCTTATGTAGCTGTACTTCCAATGTGGCTATGTGTACTACTTTTCAGAGGACAGTCCTCTATTGGAAAGGCTGTCAGAGAGCTGTCATCTACATGAAGGGCTCCCTGGCTCAAGTCCAACTGAAAGATAACCTCAAGATGGGGAAGCAGGAGCTGCCCATCAACAGCTAACAATAGCAAATCATCTGGCCACAATCTTCCCTTCCACAGTGAAATGTCTTATTTTTCAAGTTACAGAACCTTTTTTTTTTTTGCATCTATACATGTAATGCATGCAAATTTGTGTCCTCTTTCCCCATTCTTTTGTGTGACACATATTTTCTTTTTTGAGGATGGGTAAGCGGACATGCAATGTACTTCTAATATGATGATAACAAAGGCAATAATTTCAGAATTCTCTTTGATACCTTCACCGTTTGTGATTCTCTGATTCTGTCAATCCAGTCACATTCTTCTTTCCACCAGGTAGGTTCCAGCATCAGAAAATGGTTTTGTTCTTTGTCTTTCGCTATCTGCTGCTGAAGCTCACTATTTTTTGTTTGAAATGCACAGACCTGCTTCTGCATATTCTCCATCTCAACTCGCTCATTCTCAAACTCTGTCTGCAAGGTTTTAATCTGAGCAACCAGCTGATTGTACCGACAGCTCAGCTCCTCCTTTTCTGCCTGCCTCTCACTCTTCTGCTTCTGAAATTCTGCCTGCAAGGACATCAAATGCTTCTCGGCAATATCCTTCTCTTGCCTCAGTTTGTGCAGAGCAGAGGTGGTACAGCTGACCTCATGTTCTAGTTGTTGTTGGACACAAGAAAGTTCTTTCATCTCCTGCTCTTTTTTGTGGAGAGCACAATTCAGTTCTGTGCACTGGTTCATATATTGGTTCTTTTGCTCCACCTCTGCCTGGTATTTGGCTTGAAGACTGCTATAATCAGCATGAAGCTTTTCCAACTGCAACATCAGAGTTACCTTCTCAGACTCTGAGTCCTGCAGAGGATCCTCTTTGTTAGCCAGCATGTCTTTCTTGCCCTTCAGCTGCCTCTCAGCCTCATTGTTTTCCTCTATGACCTGGTTCTTTGCTTCAGTGAGATTCATTATGATCCCCTTCAGCTCCTTGATGGTGTTGAGAAAATTGCAATTCTTGAGAAAGTCCACTTCTAGCTCTTTAATCTTCCTCCTCAAAGAAACATTATCATAGTAAAGGTCCATGATTTGGGTTTGCTGCATCTTTTGGTCCTGCTGTAGTCCCTGCAGTGCTTTGTTTAAATCCATAACCCCTTCCTGAAGCAGGGCTTTCTCTATTTCTTTCATCTTTTTCTCAAAAAATATATTGCCATACTGAAGATTCACAATGCGGGAAAGCTGCTTCTGGTGGTCTTCTTCTAAATCCTTAATAACCCTGTTGAAATCCATGTCACCTTCTTGAAGTAGCAGTTGCTTTGAGGTAAATTCTGCAGAGTTCCCATGGCACAGTTTATGTGACACTTCATAAGGTGTCAGGCTGCAGCTTTTTGTAGTATATGGTAGAATGATGCCTTTGTCCCCTGTGTCCCCTTGCCAGCATTCGTCTGCTGTCCAGAGCAACTTTGTGGAATGGATAGGCAATGATTTCTCCTCGGCATTATGATCCCCTTTCGACACAAGGGCAGCCTATGTTAAAATAAAAACTTGGATCACATATTAGAGAAAGTAAGAGAAATTCTCATGGACAGAAACCTGCTTTGTATCACAATCCAAAGCCTTCTGATTCAGAAGCATGCAAGCTTCTGGAACTTGGAGGCTTACATGCATTGGATGTAGGTAGCAAGGCATGGCAGTGGCAGTCTTGGCTTTTGCCAAGCCTCATACAGTGTATTTTGTCCAGATAGCTGTTTTCAGGCATCTAGGTGAGTTGCCGGGGAGAAGTAGGGAAACAGTGACTGGAATCAGCATAAGCCATCAAACTCAGTCTCCTCCTTCACTAGCTCATGACACATCTCCTTTCCACCTCTCCAAGTCCCAGTTGCATTCTTGGAGAGGCAGCAGGCATGGTGGTTCCCATGCCAGCTGCAAGGCAGGCAGGGGCTCAGGCTTCAGAGTCCCAGGTCCAAAGTCAGAAGGACTCACATCTTGGCCTCTGGACAATTCTGTGCCCCTTAAGACAACACCAGGAGGCTATAGGATTTTGCTGTAAGTGAGATTTAACCTGGCACCTTGTACATGCAAATAATATGCACCATGTTACAGTATTACACTAACTCTGCTTCCACTTGTTCTCATTTAAGAAATTTCACATATAAGACACCTTACACTTGGTGATGCAGATGTACATTCAGTCACTTTCTCTTTGTTGATGCAGTGTGCTAATGTACTCTTGAGGTGTTCTTTCAAGCATCTGTTTGACTGTATCAGAGTGCGAATATAATCCAGGTTTTCGTCCAAAGCATCTGGAAAAACTGTGAGACCAGCTTCTTTTGCTGATTCATTATGTTGTTCAGAGATCATCTGTCAAGATTATAGATTCAGACTTGGTTCACTCAACAGGAATCAAATTTTATGGGTACAAAACAGATCCTTATTAGAATTTAAGTAAAACAATTTATGGGCATCCTATATTTATCACTATGAAAGATTGTGAACAGTGTTTGGGGCATGAACATCCTGAGAACAGAAGTGGTGGAAAGTCCTGTTTAGTCATATTCTATTTCTTTAATAGTTGGCCAGATACTCATGAGAACACCTGAGAGCCATAGCATCCTCTCACTCATTCAGACCTGCCATGCTGCCTTTGATACTAGAGGTAACCTACAGTGCCTTGCAGAAGTACTGAGCCCAGGTTTGGCCGGGAAGCATACCTAAACAAAAAGTCATGAAGACCAAGGAGCCAAAAGCGCAAATCAAGTTTGAGTTATAAAAAATATCACAGCAAAATGTAGAAAAGTCAAGGGGGTGAATACTCATGCAAGGCCCTGTACAGCCATCGCGACTAGCCACTTTTGATTGCATTTATTTAATAGTCCTTTAAATCCTCTTGTTGACGATTCAAGATACCTACTTCTTCCCTCCAATTCTATTTCCAGTAGAGCAGAGGAAGTATTGGGAGAACATTTGGCATTGCTGGATGACAGAATCTTGGTGCCAACACAGCCACCATTTCCCTTTTAAAAATCACTAGATCATGAATGGTACAGCCCTTTGGACTAGATAATAGACAGGTTGGAAAAACCCTAATAAATAATAACTAAAACTAACATCCATGAACTGTACCCCTGCTTCTCGGAAGCTTAGAAACATGGAGCATCTGAGATTCCTACACCCTGCTGGGCTGAAACAGGCAGGGCAGGTGGAGTAGTGGAAATCATCCTTGCATCCACTTTCTCTGTTCTTTGTTTTCCATCTCTTCAGCAAGTGCACTTTGGGAGAGAGCGAAGGATACCGGAGGAAACTCAATATAAATTGTATACTGGTCAACCATCCCCACTCCCCAGAATACCCTCTTCTTCCTCTCTTCAAGGCTGCATTTCCAATCTCCAAGAGGCAGTCAGCATGGTATGGCTGCCCTCCATGGCAGCTCTGAGCAGATAGGGCAGGGTCTCTGAGGTCAGTATGCTGCCTCCAACATCAGAGGGGGGAATCCAAAATATCCTATGGTCCCTGGGACCACAGGGTCACTCTCTAAACTTGTTTGCTTTGGGGACTACTCTGCTTTGTGGACAATATATTTTCACAGCCACCATTTAGGAAACTGTTTGAAAAGACTTTGAATTATTCTGTCTACATTCTAATACAGGTATCCCAAAACATGGGGAATTGTGCTGCTAAGTTACACACAGGCTTTTAAAGGTTTGCATATGCTCTGCATCACTGAGATGTTTGTCATCAAGTTTCTATTAACAGTGCTTCCCTTTTCTTTCCTCATACCCATTAAATACTGTTGCAGTGGAGCACAGAAGAAGATTAGTTTTAATACAGTGTTCGTTTGCTCTGGGCAATACCTTCAGCATTTCCTTCTCTCCTGGTTTGTTCTTGTTAACAGTGACCACACAAACCTGCACTGTGGGCATAGTTTGAGAATCTGATCATATGTATGCTGGCTCAACAAGAGAAAGCCAAGAAAGACACCACCCTGTATTCATTTCTCCCAGCAGGAATAGTCTTCAGCACCTAACTTTCCATTTTAACTACAAAGCTACAAGCAAACTTACCATTGTGCCTTCATGGCGCAATGTTTTTTCAACTGCACTGGAGCCATCCCACTGAATGAGTAGATCTTTGCCAGCAGAACACTCATTTGTCTGGAATAAAGAGCCTGTGGGCTGAGTAAGAAAACTAGATACTTCTTTGATGGGGGATTCTTTCACAATGCAGTCCAGTAAGGGCTCCCCCATGATCAGAAATGGATCTTCCTGAACAGGCGCATCTGACCTTTTGACCACAAATTCCTTGGGAGGAGTTTCAACCTCAGTCAAGAGTTCACATGAATCTTTTGTATTAGAATCTTCTCCCATTCTGGAGCTTTCCTGCGGCTGTCCCAGCACTCTGCCCTGTTGTGCCAATTTCGCTTGAGATAATAATTCCTCATTATATTCCTTCCACCCAGTGCTGTTAGTGCTGAAGGATGGCTCTTCATTCATAGAGCACATTCTTAAAGTGTTCAGAGATGACATTAATGTCTCTGAAGCATCTTCAAAATCTGTGCATGTTCAGAAAGAATAACTGTCAAATGAATTCATTAGAAGTGACAGCACTTTTCAGGTCTGTAGGATTACTAGGCAGCTTCCTTCCTCTGTACAACTCTACCAGGAAGACTCTGGGGACTAGTGAAGGAAGCCACAGCTTGAAATCCTCAGTCCATCCTTGGCCCAAACTGTTCCTCAGTCACTCACTATTGATGGAGAAACTAGAGAACTTAGTTGGCAGTCCAATTAATTCCACTTTTTTTTTTTGTCTTGTCCTGCCATCTTTTTTCAAACTTGCTTTGTAGTGATTTTCATATACAGTGGTACCTTGGCTCACGAACACCTCAGTTCATGACCAAATCAGGTCATGAACAGAAATTTCATAAAAATTTTGTCACAGGTCACAAACTCTGCATTGGGTGACAATCATGAGCACGCCCACCTTCCCTGCGTGGGCGCGATTGCAGTCGTGCTGGAGGGGGGATGGCTGTGATTGCACCCATGTTCCTTGCCTTAGTGCACCTGCGCCCGTCCCCCCCAGCACGCCCACGATTGCGCCCGTCTCCCCCCACCCCCCTGCATGATTGCTGTGGGTGGACATGGCCTCGATCTTTGTTGTTCTTTGTCACTTTGCTTCAAACTTTTGTGAGTAAAAAAATTAGTTGCAGAACAGATTAACCTTATTTACATTGACCCTTATGGGGAAATTTGACTTGGCTCATGACCAATTTGAGTCACAACCAGAGTCCTGGAATGGATTAAGTTTATGAGCCAAGGTACCACTGTAATTTCTAACCCACTAACACAAATGCTACTCAGGAGGGCTAACAACAGTAAAATACAAGATTGATTAAACAAAATATATAGTCTAAACTTGAAATAAATCATAAATACATAAATACCATTAAGAAATAAATAATACCTACTAGTTAAAATATTTCAAGGCAAAAGTCCTGCCTGAGTAAATATGTCTTTTTCTGCTGGCAGAAGGATATTTGATTTATTTATTACATTTATATACCTCCCAATAGCTAACAATGCCAGAAATGCAGCTATCCTGGCCTCCTTTGGCAAGGAATTTAAAACACAGTTCGGCACAACCCTATACAATATGGCTAGTGATGGACTCTTGAACGTTTTCAGGGAGTCCCTTAAATTGAAAGCTTCCTTCTTCAGGCTTCTGCCTCCTGCTTCCTGTGCAGGAGAGATGCAACACTGCTGAATTGCCCCTTAGCTGGCCCCTATTTGGTCCATTCCCAGTCACTATGGAAAGAAACAGTTAATTGATAGTACTCTCTTTGGAGATGCTAAACAGAGTAATTCATGAGAGTTAAGTGGACAGTTCAAAGATCACTGCAGGGGATCAATGCTGCAAGAACTTCGGAAAAACATTATGATAGGATCATGACCATGTGAAGGACAACTGTCAATAAAGGGCTATATGAATCACCATGGTAGACATGAGTCAGAAGAGACCTCTTCTGAGAAAAAGACTGGGCTTCCAGACTCCCAGATAATGTTGGGACAACCTGGGCTCCAAAGAACCGCTTTGGCCCAATCCCAATCCCAATCCCTGCCTTGTTTCCCTATTGCCCTCCCTCTTCCACAGCTTGCCAGTTCTCACTCCAAGGGAATGGCTTGCTCAGGAAAGAAAAAGGTTCCAGTCATAGATCCTATGCAAGCAAGCCCAGCTGCAATTGCTGAACCAGGAAAAGGGATAGCTGACATCATGTATGTAAGCCCTTAGACTCCTGCTGAACTTTTCCTGGATTAACCATGTTTGGGTTGCCAACAAAAAGCATTCATAGATCACGAAAGGGGTACATCTGGCACACGTTGAATGTAGCCCTTGGAGGATTCCCATCTGGTGTGCAGGGCCTGTCTCTTTGACAAAGGATGAGAGAGAAAAGGACAGTTTTGCATAGTTTCAAGAGTCTTTGCATGACCAAGCCTTGCTTTTTAATTGGCATGCTCATAAACACTGCCACACATAACAGAACACACCCAAAGCTGATCAGATACCTGTTGTGCAATGTGGAGAGACAATTCTGGTTAATCATTCCAACCTTTTGGAAGAAACAAGAGTTCAAGCTCCTATTATTCTATTTCATATAGTCAAAAACACAGATACCATATATGAAATCTTCAGACAATGGCTCAGAAAGGTGACCTTCCTTGCATAGTGTGCTGTCAAGTTCAGTTTTCCTCTTTGAATCCTGCACTTCATCCTAAAATCAACACATGCATCGAAGAAGACTCCTTAATAATCAAATCCAGAAGGTAGCCATGTTAATCTGTTGCAGAAAAAGCAACCATGCCAAACTAAATCTGTTAGGCTTCAAAGTGTCACAGGTCTCTGCTAGTGACATTGGTACCTTTTGACATGCAGGTGTTCACAAGATAGTCCTTATAGCCATGCACACAAGTGGAATCCAAACTGCAGGCTGATCCATATCAACCAGTTCTGGCAGCTTTATCTCCACCAGAACTGTTGTCTTTTGTAAAGCTTCATGGCCCATTCAAGACCATGTGTCCCCAACTTTTGTGAGGATTGCAGCTCACTTTTGTGACAACTTTTGTGAGGATTGCAGATCAGAGAAAACTGGATGATAGTATGTAGTAATATGACATGGATCACATCAATATCCTTGCTAGTACACAGATTGCTGTGAGTCCTGAGTATACCACATGAATATGATAATCATTGTAACTTACTTTACAGTCAAAGTTGGTCCCAAAAGATCTATACCAGTTCCGACTTGTTTTCAGGATATGGTTTAAGGGTCTGGTTTTGAACTTATCTGAAAGAGCATCTTGCATATATTCTTCACTCCATGCATGAAACCTGATTGCGAAAGCCCCCTGCAGCATGCCGTTCAACACAGAACATTCTAAGACCACCAGTCCTCTCTGCAGTGGTGGTGGTGGTTCTTATAGGTCTCCCTGCCTACCTTCCTTCTCTGTTGGCAGCCGAAAACAATTTTATTTCAGAGAGCATTCAGCTGAATTGCCACTGTTTCAAATAAAGCACAGCTGAGTTTCAATTCCAGTACTGTTAATTATGGTTTTCAGGCATAATTCTATGCATGTTTAGACAGGAAAAGTCATACAACTGCCAGCTTTTCCCAGCCAGCAGGGGACTTTTTCTGTCTAAAAATTCACAGGATTTCTCCCTACAACAGGGGCCCCTGGACACATTTGGTAAATTGAGGAACTCTCCTTGCCAACACCACAAACTGGCTGCTGTCAGAAGGATGGAAAGCAACAAGTAATTTGTCCAACATGCTGGGTACAAGACAGCAGCAGGGTCTCATCCCCAATACAGTAAACGATTCCATTCAGATTGCACTCTTCCTCACCAATAGAAACTTACTTCACAGCAGTCCCTGCTTCCAGTAAGGAAATGTGTTCATTACTCTCATTTCTGCACAGGGGCTGACAATTTTTGAACCCTAACCCAAACCTTAAACTGAACCCTAACCTGAAATTCACAATATGCTCTCATGCATTTGGAAACTTTCACCAAACTGCACTCTTGGGTTTTTTCCTAGCCAGCCAGCTTTTTATTTTTCAGGGCTTAGAAATGCATAGAATAAACGCTTTCTAATCCTAACTTGAAGATGAACCCCAACCCTATTTTGGCAATGGACTTTCATGCATTTGGAAACTTTAACCAAACTCAGCACTCCTGTCTTTTTTCTAGCCAGCTTTTCTTCTCCATCATGCAAATTCCAGGGCTCAGAAATGCATATGGAATGGCCACTTCCCAATCCTAACCCTCACCTGAAGCTGAACCCTAACCCACATTCCCAATATGTTCCCATGCATTTGAAACGTACAGTGGTACCTTGGCTCACAAACCTAATCTGTTCCATAACTCTGGGTCATGAACCAAGTGAAATTTCCCCATAAGGTTCAATGTAAATAAGGTTAATCCGTTCTGTACCTATTTTTCTTTTTGTCAGAAAAATTTGAAGCAAAGTGACAAAGAATAACAAAGATCACGGCCATCTCCCCTCTTCCCAGCATGACCGCAGTCATGCCTGTGTTCCCTGCATGAGTCCGACCGTGGCCATAGACAGGTGCGGTCGTGGTCATGCTCGGGCAGGGAAGACAGGTGCAATCACGGCCATCTCCCCCACCCCCGAGCATGACTGTGATCGCACCCATGCAGGGAAGACAGGTGCGATCGCGATCGTCATCCGATGTGGAGTTCGCGACCTGAGACAAACATTTTCTGAAATTTCTGTTTGTGACCCGATTTGGTTGTGAACTGAGGAGTTCATGATCTGAGGTACAACTGTATCATCAAACTCAACACTCCTGGGTTTCTTCCTAAGTGACTTCCAGGGTCTTAGAAGTACATAGGGAGTGGCTACTTCCTCTCCCTAATCCTAGCCTCTCTGAAACTATGAAACACTGAGCCGGAGTGAAGGGAAAGAGGGAGTGGGGGAGGAATCTACCATGTCAGGATTAGACACCAAATCAGGAGGGAGGAGCGGTGCAGAATAATGTGGTGTTCCAAACAATCCTCTGCCAAAGATACTCCAAAGATACTCTTGCCTTGAAGGCAGGGGTTTTTTTGTTACATGCCTGGCCTGACTGGGAAGGGTCTAACAATTTCCTAATTAGTTTGGTTTCTACATTCTAATCTGCCACATTAGTTTTAGATGCTGGCTTTATATGATGCAAAGGCAGTTTGACTCTTTTCCAGCAATTGTTTGTAATGCAACCTGCTGTGTAGCCTCATGCCAGACTGGCTTGCTAGTAACTTTTTACATAATCAAAGCTAGTTGACAAATCAGTGGCTTGTGTGGGGTGGATTAAGAGGCAGGACTGCCCTGGCATTGTGTTGCAGGCACAATAGTAAGGCTTCTGCTTCAAGATGTGAATTCATTAAATGTCAGAAGAGAGTACCAATACTGACCACAAACTATGTACTTACCCAAAAGATCTCTGGAGCTATATTGCAGCTTTCTGTTTTCAGCAGGTCTTGATATTCCTCCTCCAGAGAAACATGTCTGATGGAAAGAGGTTCTTTGCTCATGATAGTTCACTCCCAGGTATGCAGATCCTCCTTTGTTGTGGCGATTCCTAAAGAAAAATGAAAAGGGTTACTTCAATACGTTACATATGGGCCCAGGATGATATATAACATTAAAACATCTGTGTAAAACAAAATGCTTGAAATAAAACATGCCTTAACAATTTACTACAACTGTTCCATCCCGTGCCCCAAAAATGCAAATGAATTGTTTTTCTTAGGTTAAAACTCAAAACAGTCTTTAATGTTTTAAGAGAATTGTCAGCATGCTTTTCAACAGGGCAGTAGGCATTTACAACAAGAGATTGTTCTTTATGTATAATTTCTTGTAGTGGACTTTTAGGCTTTCATTCCAGTAATTGCATATCCTCCTTTTTAAAATTTGCTGCTGCTGTTGTTTTTAAATGTTTGACAATACATGCATATAACATGACAATCAAACTCTGAAGTTGCAATCCTAGACCAACCTACAAGGGAATAGGGCAAAACAGAGAACAATTGTATGGCCCATGGACAGCATTTAGAAGCCCAGGGGATCAATCATTTTCCCAGCTCTGAGATCAAAAATCAGATCTGTCAACCAGTGTGGAAAGAACCATACAAGCCGTTTCTTCGAGGCTGTATGAACGACCATGAAAAAGGCACTTAGTGGCTGAGGTGGGAAAGGACCAGGAGGAGACCAGTGCCACCAAGGTGCAACATATCCTGGTGGTACATCAACCTCCTTCCCTCCCTCTCCAAAGTATCACAATTAGATGGTTGAAATTAGCCATCTGACTGTATTGCAGGGCAGGAAGAACACAGAGGTGACTTTCACATTCTTCCTGTGCTGCATAAACTTCCATAATTTTTTGAGTTTGCTGGGTTACAGGCATCCTCACTGAATTATACACAGCATGACTTAAGGCACAACGATATGCATGTTTAAACAGAAAAAAAGTCCTACAAATTCCCGCATTCCTCAGCCAACGCTGCTGAAAGTTGTAGGATTTCATTTTGTCTAAACATGCATAGAATTGTCCCCATATGGTGTGGTGGTTAAAGTGTCAACTGCGGACCTAGGAGATCTGAATTCTAATCCTCACTCAGCCATGAAGCTCACTAGGGGAGTGTGAGCCAGTCACTCATTCTCAGCCTAACCTAACTCACAGGGTTGTTGTGAGGTTAAAATGCAGTTATATAAATCACCTTGGGTTCCTCATGGGTGGGGGGGGGTGGAGGAGGAAGTGATATGAACACAATCTAATAATAACATTAATAATATACTAATCTATATCAGGCCATTGTTTCCTGTTGGATAGCTGGGGTTTCTAGCAAAAAAAAAGTGTCCATACCACCCAAATCTCTGTTACCAGCAATCTAATTCTACTGGCATCCCACTTCCATGGTCCCCTTTCCACATCCTACTGGCAAAACCAACACTCATTTGAGTGCAGATTGCAGACATGGTGTGTCCCGGTCATTAGCATTCCAAATACTATTGTTCATTGTGATTTAATTAATTTTAGACTAAAATGTCCACTACAACAAAAATTCCACAATCTGTGTTGCTGTGTTACCTTTATCCAACTAACCAAAAGATCACCAAAAAATAAATGTGCAAACTTTTGAGATTCAGGTAACTCTACTTCCCGTAAGATGTTATATATGGCAGTGTGGAGGAAGGAGAAAAAGGTGACTCCTTGGTGGTGCAGCAAATCCTCGTATTTTGGATGGTGTTCTTCACGTGTCACTGTACTGCCCTCACTTGCCCAAGTGTGGATAACACCCCTGCACTCTCCTTTGAAGTCAAGCCACGGCCAGTGCTAAATGGCTTGCTGGGGTTCAGGGGCTCCTGCAGTGACCCATGGGATACTTCAGGGGCAGGGGAAGGGAATAGGAGTGGGGGGAGGAGGAGGAGGCATACAACCCTTGCCATGCCTGATCGGTTAGGCACCAAGTTAAAATTCCCAAAGGATTCAATGAGTTGTGTGAACCCTGACATTGGCTGCCAAGTCCAGACTACTTGGAGGTGTTTGTGAGAGGAGGACTCTGCAAGGTTTCTGCTGACCCTGATAATATTAAGGAGTGTGTGGAGAAGTCACAGCCTCCATTTTGTGGAATATAAAGCTACTTGTGTCTTCCATCACAGCTGAAGCACTCTGATTCCTTTCGCCCATAGATCACAGAAAGAAATTAGGCAGCCTTTATATTAAGAAAACAGGAGGTAGTTTAAGGTATTGTTCTAGGAAATAAAATTCAACTGAAGCGGATCTGGTTAGCATTACCTAGTGGATGGGATGAAGCCTCCTAAATACATTTATTTATTTATTTATTTATTTAGCTAGCTTTTATAGACTGTCCCATCACTAGTGTCTCAGGACTGTGTACAACATTAAGAAAGGTCAGGCCAGATCAGACCAAAGGTCCATCTGGTCGAGGATTCTGTTCACACAGTGGCCCACTGGGCCCCCAGGAAATCCACAAGCAGGATGTGAATGCAACAGCAGCCTCGCACTCATTTCTGCCAGCAACTGGTGCCCACTAGCATACTGCCTCTGATCCTGGATAGCAGTATCATAAGTAACCACTGATAACTTTCTCCTCCATGAATTTGTCCAGTTCCATTAAAGCTATCCAAATGACTGGTTGTGAATCTACAGTTTAACTATGTGCTATGAGAAAAAGTACTTCCGTTTAGCTAACCTCGATTTCCCACAAAATTGCTTTACGGCATAATCATGTCCTCTAGTATTATGAGCAAAAGAGAAAGAGGGAGAGATAGCAGGGATGTCTCTCTAGCCACTTTTTCCACAATATGCATAATCTGTATGGCTCTGTTATGTCTCCCTGTATTTGCCTTTTTTCTAAGCTAAATAAAATGTTGTAACATTTCCTCATAGAGGAGTAGCTCCAGCCCCTTGCTCATGTTAGTTGTTCTTTTCTGTCCCTTTCCCAATTCTACAATATCCCTTTTCAGTGCATTGAACAGAACTGTATCCATTCTACAGTATGGCTACACAACTGATTTGTATTAGAGGAGTACAATCTTGGCAATTTTCTTTTCTGATTCAAGTCTACATTGCAGTTTGGACTTCCAAAGGCTTTTGACAAAATTCCTCACCAAGGACTCCCAAGCAAATGCAGCAGTCATGGAATAAGAGGTTCTTTTATGGATTAATAACTGGTTAAAGAATAGAAACCAGAGAGCATAAAGAAAAAGCAAATTCTCCCAGTGGAGGGATGTAAACAGTTGTGATCCTTTTCAGTCCGGCTTCAGACCCGGGTACAGTACTGAATCTGCCTTGGTCGCCCTGTACGACGACCTGTGCAGGGAGAAGGACAGGGGGAGTACATCCCTGTTGGTTCTTCTGGACCTCTCGGCGGCTTTCGATACCATCGACCATGGTATCCTTCTGGATAGACTTGCGGGATTGGGGGTTGGAGGCACTGCTTTGCAGTGGTTCCGCTCCTATCTCGACGGTCGATTCCAGAAGGTAGTGCTGGGGGACCATGTCTCTACGTCATGGCAGCTATGCCATGGGGTACCACAGGGCTCCATTCTATCCCCTCTGCTATTTAACATCTATATGAAACCGCTGGGAGAGGTCATCAGGGGGTGTGGGCTGCGGAATCATCAATACGCTGATGATACCCAGCTTTACCTCTCATTCTCCACTAATCCAGGTGAGGCAGTGGCTGTGCTGAACCGGTGCTTGGCCGAGGTAAGGGAATGGATGAGGGCCAATAAACTGAAACTCAACCCAGACAAGACGGAGGTCCTGTTGGTTGGCGGATCGGGTTTCGGAGAGGGTGGATTTGACCTGGTCCTGAATGGTGCAACACTCCCTCTTAGGGATAAGGTCCGCAGCTTAGGAGTACTCCTCGACCCGGAGCTTTCTTTGGAAGCTCAGGTGACAGTGGTAGCGAGGAACGCCTTCCTTCAGCTTCGGCTGATTAATCAGCTGCGCCCCTACCTGGAGTACGACTGCCTGGCGACGGTGACACACGCGCTGGTGACTTCCCGCCTAGACTTCTGTAACGCGCTTTACGTGGGGCTTCCCCTGAAGACAGTCCGAACACTTCAATTGGTGCAAAATAGAGCTGCCAGGTTGCTGACGGGGACGGGGCGTTATGCTCACATGACTCCAGTCCTCCATCAGCTTCACTGGCTTCCCATTGAAGCCCGGGCCCAATTCAAGGTGTTGATTATGACCTACAAAGCCCTAAACGGCTTGGGTCCTGGCTACCTGAACGAGCGCTTACGTCCGTATATGCCCGACCACCCTTTGAGGTCTGCGGGAGAGTCCCTTCTCCGGGAACCCTCCATGAAAGAAATTAGGAGAGTAAGTACCCGGAGGAGGGCTTTCTCTGCGGTGGCGCCCAACCTATGGAATTCACTCCCCAAAGAGGTCTGCCTGGCACCGTCGTTACTGGTTTTTCGGCGCCAGGTAAAGACCTTTTTATTTAAACATCATTTCAATTGTTAAAACATATGATCTGGCCAGGGCAACTTCTTCTTCCTTCTCTTTCTCCTCCTATATTTTTATTTTATACTGATAATTTTAATTTTGTATTTGTAAATCAATGTATTTTTTGTATTGTTATATTTAATGGTAATTTATTATGTACTATTGTATTTCAATGTATTTTATCATGTTGTAAGCCGCCCCGAGGTTTCGGCAAGGGGCGGCATAGAAATGTTATAATAATAATAATAATAATAATAAGGATCTATATTAGGACTAATACTTTTCAACTTACTCATAAATAATCTGAAATTAGGAGTAAACAGTGAAGTGGCTCGTTTTGCTGATGACATCAAAGTATTTAGAGTATGGTTAAAACAAAAAGGGGTTGGGTGGTGCTGCAAAGTCTCTCTTCTGACTGAAAGAATGGGCATCAGAATGGCAAATGCAGTTCAAGGTAAACAAGTGTAAAATAATGTCAAGGCCAGGCTAACTGGAGGTGAGTTATTGGGGGTGAAGTGTTTTCAAAAATATGGCATCTAGCCATTTTACAGCAACTCCCTACAGTGGAGGATGAGGATTTCACAGTCCCATAATTTGAGACTTCATTCTCTGATGACGAAAATCAGCCTACCCATCTGGAGGGCAACAAATAGAGGAAAACTGCTTCCGGGGAAGATAAATTAGCCCGAGAACTGTGACTGCCCCAAGGCCACCCAATGAGCTTCTTGGCCGAGTGGGACCTAAAACCTGCTTCTCCCAAGTCCCAATCTCACCATAATGCCATACTAGCTCTCCCCTTATACAGATACGCTTTATACTTTGCTTCAAGCTTTCGCATACGTGTAAATTGTAATCGGCTACATAGCAGTGAGGTGGAAAAGGACGATTTAATCATGGGGATTTTTTTTTTCAAGCCTTCTTTCATTGGAGACGGTTTGAATACCACAATGCTCACAGTTTCCTCGGTCCATTGAGATTGCCCGAGGTTCCCCTGAGAAGAGCCTGCCACTTAACTACCGCGATGTCTTCGCAAAGAGTTGTTGACCGCTTCTTGCCCGTGTAACGGTTGCAGAGGCCAGATCCGCGGTGACGTCACAAAGAATCGGAGCCTGCACGGCCAATCCGCTTGCCGAAAAGTGGCCGAGACCGCCACGGCAGGGCTGCTTTGAGAATAAACATTCTGTTCTCTCGCCCAGCGGCTGCGCTCAAGGCCACCCCGGGTGCATTTTCCACGTTTCCATAAATAAATGAAAGCACGATTCGTCGTAATGGGCAACTGCGCGGGAGAAAGATTCAGGGCGTCTATCTTAGCCTTCCTCAAGGCGGCGCCCTCAAGATAGGGTGACTACAACTCTCATCACCCTCAGTTCTTCCCAGGGCACTGAGGATGCTGGGGATTGTAGCACAACGTACCTAGAGAATAATGCTCTCACTAACTTGAAAAGTGTATTTCAGCCTTCCCTAACCTGGTGCCCTTCAGATGTGTTCGGCTACGATTCCCACAATCCCCCAGAAAGCAGGGATATTTGCTCAAAATGCAGAAGTGAAGCGTGCATTTCAGCGTAACTGCACTATTTCCAGCAGCAGCTTGCAGGCGTGCCCCAACCCACGCGTATACGTTCGCCGCACATGAGGCCCTACAATTCATGTCAGACTACAATTCCCAGAATTCTGCCATACGCTATCGGAAGCCGCTGTTAGAGAAACATATTTCCGGCGCTCCTTCATGACCCTTCCGGGGAGCCGTAGAACGTAATTGGCGACGCTTGTGCAGGAAGGAGCTTGATTTGCACCTCGTGGGTCGGAAGCGGTTCCTGCTTGGAGTGGTGCCCGCAGCCGTCTACCGCGGGTGGGTAAGCTGTGCCTCCGGGGTCCACAGAGCACGGCTGGGGAACAGGGTGCTCGCTCGGCCTTGTTGGAAGCGCTCGGGGTTTCTCTGTCAGTTGTCCTGCTTTTAGCCCGAGGCTGGGCTGGAGTGCCGCTTGCACTGCTGCCCGCTGTTTCAGATTGTCCCAGGGCGTTTGCTCACCTGGATTGGAAGGTGTTCAAAACTGCAGTTTTATTCTCGTAATATTAGGGCCCTAAGTCTATGTATGTTGGAACAGAAAGGAAGTTTTCCCACTCCCAGTATGTCCCGGCCGCTGGTGCTCCAAGGCTATATTAATGGCGGCTAGTCCTGATGGCGATATGCGGCTTCCAGGTTCAGTGGTAGTCTGCCTTTGTTCACAGTTGCTGGGGAGCAGGAGGGTGCTGTTGCATGCACGCCCTCTTTGTGGGTTACCCAAAAGCAGCTGGTTGGCCTCTGTGTGACCAGAGTGCTGGACTAGATGGGCCCTTTATCTGGTTTGGTGTTGCTTCCTCATATAGCAAGTAATAAAACCTGAGTTCGTGGAGAGTTGCTCCTGCTGGACAGAGTATACAGTATTGGGTTTGGTGGACCAAAAAACAAACACGGTGGGGAAATTTGAACTGGGATTTTGTCTGCTGCTCTCTTGGCAACTTGCACTGTGCAAGGTTTTATTGTAATCATGAAACACTCCTGTGCGCTGTGCAGCACCTCACACATAAGGGTGCAGCAGACTTGTATGCTGTGTTAAGTAGCCAGCCTCAGTGTTAAGTAAAATAGCAGTATGGTGCAGTAGGCTAAGTGCAATAAAGGCAATCTGGTTTCTGGTTCCCATCTGCTGGTGAAGCTTACTGGGTGATTTTGGGTCAGACCCTGACTTCAGCCTGACTAGTTTATAGGGCGAATGTGAGGATTAAATGCAGAGGAGCATGTAAGTTGTCTTGGGTTCCTTGCAAGAAGGAAAAAGACAGGGTATTCATGTAAACAAAATTTAAGTAAATAATCTGGAGTGGCTGTTGTTCTGTGGTTTTCTATCCTAAAATCACAAAGTTTATGGTTGTCCTCCTAATAAATCTCAGTGTTAGCAACTAGGGACGGCAGCGAATGAGGTGGCTAGATGGAGTCACTGAAGCAATCAGCATGAGCTTAAGTGGACTCCAGGAGATGGTGGAGGACAGGAAGGCCTGGAGGAATGTTTTATTTATTTATATTTATTTATATTGCGATTTATATCTTGCCTTTTTCCTACAAAGGGCTCAAGGCAGCTTACATCGTTCTCCTCCTCCATCTTATCCCCACAACAACAACCCTGTGAGGTGGGTTGGGCTGAGAGTCTGTAACTGGCCCAAAGTCACCCAGTTGGCTCCATGGCCGAGCGGGGACTCGAACCCAGATTGTCCGAGTCCCAGTCCCACGCTCTTAACCACTACACACGATGGGCCGGACACGACTTCACAACTAACAACAACAACAAATGTTTTAATGTTTAAAAATTCTCAATAGTTATTTGACCAGAGAAATCTTTTTAAACAGTAAGTTTGGAGCCAAGACAAATGTATTACTGTGGAATAATGACACTAATTGCAAAGGACTAATGATTTATGGTAATTTAAGCATTCACACATATATAAACAATTTCTGAACATTTGGTTTTCATCTTGGAATACACTGGGATTAGCCTACAGTTACAAAGTTTAAAAAATGAAATGAATGTAGAAATAAAATAAAGCAACAGCATCATTTAACATTCAAAACCCAATGTTAAAACATAATTGTAAAGTTATGTGGCATTCTCTGACATTTGACTGCTACTGTTTGGAATATATTTTATTAGTTCAGTAGCTTGCCAAGTCTACCAAGCTAATAAAATGTCTTAGATGGGTGAGATAACACACACCATGTTACCAGTTTGAAGATTCCCAAATCATGTGGGTGAAAAGTAAAAACATCTATAGGGAGCGCGTTTTTTTTGTTCTGCAAGCTTTGCTGTTTTTCTTTCAGACAGAATGCACTACATATTCCAAGGTGTTCAAATTGTAACACAGAGATTTTCAGTCAATATGTAATGGTCAAAACTGCATGGCAAGTAATATTAAGTAGTTTATGTACATATATAGCAATGCATCTGCATGGAACTTACAGTTGGTATTATTTTAATAAGTGTATATAGCCAGAAACTGTATGCTCATAATGTACCATATACCATCTTATAACATGTATACCAATTATAGGAATCGGAAAAGACAGCACATCTTGCCAGTACTAAAGAGCATCTAATTGCAGCCATGGATTACAGGGAGGAAATTATGAGTCAAATAGTACCAGGACAATTTGACGATGCAGAAGCTTCAGACAGGTAATCCAGAAATAAATGGCCTGGATGATTTTCAGATCATATGAAAAACAAAACCTCTTCCCCATCTATGCCCTGCCCCAACTCTTTCAGTTTTTAATTTGGATAACAATAGTAATTTTTCTAGATATGTTGGGGGAACAGGTATGGAGAAAAAGGGGTCGAATTACTGATGTAAAAAGAAGCAATATTTTCAGTGGTTTCTTGCTTTTCATTCTTATCCTAAATTGTTATGTGCTGAGAGCAGCCACCATTAGCAAGTTCAGTAGCTTGATTTCATCAATTTGTAGGTGTTGTACTGGCTTCAGGTACAGCCAATTTAACACAACTGTATCTGTTTGCAGAACTGAATGTATGATAATCAAGCAGGTTTGTAGTCCTGTTCCCAGTTCATCCTATTGGATTTCTTGTACATCCTTAAGGAGGGAAAGAAAATATCCCTTCATAAATCAGAGGTGGGTGACATGTGGGTTCTGTGTGCACCCCACAACTGTTTTTGCAGCTGTTGTTGCCCCCTGCTGGCCGGAGAACTTGCCAGTGCTGCAGCAAAAACACCATGCTTTCTCTTAAAAGAAGGTGTGTGGGGAAGCAGAATCCCACTCCTGGGATCCCCAGGAGTCAGGTTTTGCTTATGTACAAGCCATGCATTCCCTCCATGTCTTCTTTTAAAGGAGTCTCCTTCTGGGGAAGTTATGCAGTGGAATTTTGGCAGCAAAATCAGCAGCAATAGGCAGCAGCCCTTAACACATTTGTGGGGGTGGGGGCAGATCCACAGATCATTCCCACCCCACCATAAATACATTAGTTAATATTTTTTAGAACCCTATTGATGAAGCAAGTGTCCAAATTTTGGCCAGTCTTGGAACCTAACCAGAATGGTTGCCACCAGTAGTATTCCACACCAAAGGCAGATGGGGCACACCTTAGCCTGTGGTATTCTGCATAAAGTCCTCGCCTACAGCCTACAGTCCTCGCACTTGCTGTGAGTTGGAGAGACCCCTGCCATCCTTCTCTGGAAAAGGGCAGGGGATTTTCCCAGATGCTGTTCTAAGCCTTAAAGAGGCTTAAGGAGGAGTTAGTTATCAGAGCTAGCAAAGAGTGAATCCATGTTCCCAGATGCTATCTCAGTGTAATATATTTGGTTTCTAGGGAACCTGTGGCCCTCCAGCTGTTGTTGGTCTCTACTATCAGCCCTAGGTAGTATGGCCAGGGATAGTAGGTGTTGTAGTCTGGGAACAACTGGAAGACCACGAGTTCTTCATCACTGTAAATGCTGTGTGTGTTCCCCTGTCCAGAAACAGTATTAAAAATTTTCCAGATAGGTTTTTAAAAGATTTTTTCTTTTGACAGTTACCAAAAGTAAGCGGTCACACAAAGGAGTGGGGATATAGATTTTTCATTTTTGAAGTGCCTAGAAGCTGAGGGACATGTGGAAAGGTGGAAGGGATTGACACATTAGTCAGGGTGTGCTAAAAAGTTAAAGAATCACCCCCAAAAAAGTTTTGCCACCCTTTGTGTAATTCTTTGCAATTGACAGCTCACTGACTGACAGCTGTCAAGTATGCACCAAGTAACCAATATGTAGCCTTGTTTGGTCAGTTGTTTGTAGATGTTGTTCCTTCTCTTTGATAGCAAGCACTCATCATGACATTGCCCAGGCAAGGGCCCACATTCAGGTATCTGTAAGTATGCCTTTGAAGGAATAAGAAAAAATACAATTTCCATTAGGACATTTCTGCTACCATGGTAGACTGGCTGGCTGTTAACTGGCAGCAGCAAGGAGCTTTAAACATGGGAAAAGCAGCTAAGGAAATGGGGGAGAAAACCCCATGGTGAGCCCAATTGTTTATTGTGTATACCATGGGCTGTTTCATCAATAGTCCACACTACTTGGCTTATTCACAGGTTGGGTTGTTGTGTTATGCAAACTCGCCTTCCGTGATGAGTGCATTAAGATTTTATTAAAATGTGCTTTAAAAAAAGTGAACGTGTCCAGGTGATGAAAGCCGCTCTGGAGGAGAAGGTGGTTGTGCAAATGCAGCAGTCGCGCTTGCGGGAGGAAGCCGACTGGGATGAATTTGATGAGAGCAATGAGGAAGGAGATGATGATTGGGACTGGGATGATACCACAGGAAAGTTGACAAACCGAAATCCTGTCTCTGGAGGAAGAAGCCTGCAGGTATTTATTTTTGTATTTACTGGGCAGGGTTTTTTAATCCCTCAGCAAGTAGGCTCCTGGAGCAGCATAAAATCATAAAAGAGGGCAGTCCCTGCCTGGAGGCTCATGATCTAAAAGACATGACATACAGGGAAAGGAATTGGAAGGGAAGCAGGTTTGATGTATTTATTTAGTAATTGCATTTGTATTCCACACCATAACCCCAGGGTGCAATCCTATGCAAGTTTAAATAGGGAAAAAAAGGCTAAGGGTGCAATCATAAATTAATCTCAAGTTAAGGGTGCAATCCTATGCAAGTTTAAATAGAAAAAAGTTATGTTGTCCAGAGCATGCTGAGTGTTGTAACACTATTTTTCTGTCTAAAGTTTGATAGGATTGTTCCTTAAATCAGTTATGCATTTTATTGAGGGAATGTGTGCTTTGAGAACCCAGCACTGTAATTCTCACTCTTAAATGAGTTTTGCTACTAGCTACCCTGGTGGGGGATTTAATCTAATCCTTTAGCAATAATGTTGCAGGGAGGCAACCATAATGCACTAGTGGAGCTCATCTTTGAACAAAAAAGAATCCCACTTTGTTTCCAGCAACGGAAAAGAGCCGTGGCAGCTTAGAGAGTAAATTGGTTTATTGCACTATGAGCTTTCCTCACAGGAACACAGAGGATTCCTGAAAATGCAACATGTCAGTGGTTGTATTGATCCATGATACACAACTGTAGTTGAGTGCTGTGTGTATGAATGGAAAGGCACCTGCACAAAGTGTTGGGCTCAAGCTTCTCTTGTGCTTCTGTGGCCAGCGAGAGGGTTTTGCATTCATCTATTCCTGGCTTCCCACTCCATATGAAAAAGAAACCATGGCTTAAAATAAACTCTTGCTCAGCCTCTCACAGTCTGGCATTTTCTAGGTGGATTAAACTACAACTCAGCCAGTATGACCATGTAGATATTACACTATGCTCAACCTTAGCCAAAGCCCACTAAACAATCCAAAGCGTTAGTTAACTTTTTAAAGCAATCAGCTAGACTTTTATTTTGAAATATTTTTATCTTTCTGGGTTGCCCATAATGACCTTCTAGGAATCAGGCAAAGCAAAACTGAAACCTGATTTATTCTTCCCCCTGCCCATTCCTAAGAAGAGTTGTGCGGGAACCATGTGGGCTTTGCTTCATCTGCTTTCTGCTCAGGTGCAAGGCGGTAAAGCATAGTTAGGTGTTGTGTGGGCAACCTTCCCACCCTTTGAGTACTCTAGAGATCAGTCAGGGTATGTGTCTCACTTAATACCTTTACTTCCATCAGCTGTCTTTGGGACTCTGCATTGGCTGAAGCAGGCTGCATTTGTCTTTGAGCTGGGACATGTGCCTCACTTGAATTGAATGATCAGGAGTGTGGTGCAGCATTGCACCATTCTTCCCCGGCCAGTTTAAGCAGGGTTGAAGCTTACATCAGCCTTAGACTCAAGGTTCTAAGCCAGGTTTGCAGGAAGTAGCATGATGTGGGGAATATGCATGGTAAAGGCCGTGGGCAGAAGCACTTAATCCAGATGGTTCGACTGGTTTTTGGGTTGGGAGTATGATGTGTGCATTTAAAGGCTATATGGAAGTTCAGTTATATTACAGATCCTTTGTTTCAGGCAAACAAGCAGACTCCAAGTTGCAACTCAGCTAAACTTTCCACTCCTACAGATAAAGCCATAAGAAAGTTTGAACATAAAATCAATCTAGGTGAGTGTGGTATTTCTCAACTTTTTCTCTAAAGAATTGTCTATGGACTATCTTTAAGGGGTTGGAGTAGATGGATTTATACATGTCTTCCCTGTGCATCAGCGTCAATCCTGGGAGTAATTTACAAAATAAACCTGTGGCCTGCTCAGCTGCATCATGCGGAGTGATGCATCAACCGTATAAGATTTTTTCCCTCTTTTTCAGTCTCTTGCTTTCTATTTCCAAAAATACTTTTACTAAGTAGAGATGTACCACTTAAAAAATAATTCGGGGTGCAATGAAGAATGGAGCATGCAAGTGCCTTGCAAACCAGGCCAATCAGGAACTCTTCTCCAACCTTGTCTGTTTTTCCCCATGCCCTTCTGTTCCCTTAAAACTGGGGTTTGGGGTTCCCACCATTTGTATGCTGTAGCTGGGAAGAAGTAATTCAGACTCTGCAGCCTTCACCAGGCAGTATAAACCTGTTTTTTTCCTTTTGACTTTTTTTTTTAAAGCGTGTAGCCTAAATGAACAATTTGAAATGTATAGAACTGATCTTTGGGCTTTTCTGAATAGGCAGGCAAACCCCAGCTTGCAGAATAGAAGAAAGTAAGGAAAATGGGGGATGGAGAAGTTAGCTAACAGCATACAAATGTTTTATTCTTTAAACCAGACCTCTCTAACTTCAGTCTCCAACTCCTATGAGTTTCAGCCAGCAAGCCTAATGGTCAGGAATTCAAGAGTTCTAGTCCAAAATATGTGGACGGCACTAGGATTGAGGAAGACTCATCTAAACTCTGTTATAGAGATTTGTTTATGTGCCAGCCACTTGGATTATACACGAATTTTAAGATGTTCTGGTGATGTCTGAATTCCACAAGGGAAGCGTCCTGTCTTTTCCCCATTGTTCAAGAGAGGGTGGTGGTGCCTGGCAGGAGGTAGAGCATGCACCATGAAGCGTGATGAGCTTTTTTTTTTCTTTTTTTAATAAGTTTTATTCTAAATAACCCTAATACAAAGAAAAACTAAAAACAACATCAGTCATCAGAAACACTGGACCTGCTGGGTCAGCCCCCACATTTTTTCTATTTATGATAACTTAAAAACATATTTGAATCTATACGAAGTCCTGTTTCTCTAGCCAATAATAAAAAGAGTTCCAAGTTTGATAGAAATCAGTATCTTCTTTCTCCTTCAATGACAAAGTCAATCTGTCCATTTCTGCACAGTCCAAGATGTTTTTTAGGATCAGTTCATCGGTGGGTGGTTCTTCACTTTTCCAGTGTTGGGCAAATGCAATCCTTGCTGCAGTAATTACATGTAAAATCAAGTACATTTCTTGTTTACTAATATCAACAGGTATAATGCCTAATAAGAAAACTTCAGGTTTAAAAGCTAAGGATTTTTGTAGCATTTTCTCAAGCCATTTATGTATTTTAATCCAATACTTTTTCGCTTTATCGCAAGTCCACCATATATGATAGAAGGTACCCAGTTTATGTTTACATTTCCAACATCCATTTGACATATTTGGAAACATCTTGGCTAGTCTATTTGGTGACAAATACCATCTATAAAACATTTTATACAAGTTTTCTTTATATGAAGTTGCTAATGTTACTTTAATATTTCTCTCCCACAGCTTTTGCCATTTTTCTGATTCAATATTATATCCAAAGTTTTGTGCCCATGTTATCATAGTTTCCTTAACCTGTTCATCTTCCATTCTCCTGTCTAGTAAGAAATAATATAGTCGTTTAATCATTTTTTCATCTGCTTTATGCATCACCTGATCAAATGCTGTTAAATTTTTATAAAAGCCCCACATTCTATAGTCTTCAGCATATCTCGATTGTATCTGCACCTTATGCCACCAAGAAATATTAGATCCTTGTTCTTGTATTTCTTGATTCAATTTCAGTCCTCCATCATTACCCAAAATTTCATCATATCTTACGATCGCTTCAGAGTTCAATGCATTTGGATATACAAGAGCTTCCATAGGTGAAAGCCATCTTGGTAATTTATTATACAATTTTGTCTTTAACTTTTCCCACACCAACATTAATGATTTCCTAATATAATGACTTAAAAAAGAACCATGTACCTTAGTCTTTTTGTACCACATATAAGTATGCCAACCCATTTGCAAGATCATGCCCTTTGAGATACAAGATTCTCTTATTTCTTAAGGTTATCCATTCTTTTAGCCACGTTAAAACAGAAGCTTAATAACACAGCATCCAATCAGGGAGACCAAAGCCCCCATTCTACTATTATTATTATTATTATTATTATTATTATTATTATTATTATTATAACATTTCTATGCCGCCCCTTGCCGAAACCTCGGGGTGGCTTACAACACGATAAAATACAATGAAATACAATAGCACATAATAAATAGCACATAATAGCACATAATCTTTAGCCTCCTGAAGTATTTTTAGTTTACTAATCCTTGGTTTCTTTCTCCATATACATCTCAAGATTTGAAAGTTTAAATCATCAAAAAAAATTCTATCAATTTTTACGGGAATCATTTGGAATAGAAAGAAAAGCTTTGGAAATATATTCATTTTAGCTAGTGCTATTCTTCCCAGCAAGGATAATTGCAAATTAGCCCATTTTTCCAAATCACTCTTAATATCCTTAAATAGTTTATCGTAATTGTCTTCTTTCACAGTGGTTCACTTAGCTGTAAGATAAATTCCCAAATATTTAACCTTTTTAACAATCTGAAAGTCTACTTGTTCCGCCAGAGTTTTTCTCTACTCCTGTGTGAGATTTTTTTACTAACAATTTTTGTCTTTTCTCTGTTTGTTTTCATCCCAGTAACCTCGCCATACTCTTCAATCTTTTGTAGGAGTTTAGACAATGTGATGAGCTTTTCTTGATGGAGATGCTCATGTTACCTTTGAGACATTTGTTCACACATAGGCCAGGGAATTGTGGAAATGAGTGAACTAATGCATTTGAGTAGTCCAGTTAAATAGAATGAAAGATGAGACCCGGGAAGAGACTTCCTACCTGTTACTGACAGACAAATGGAGTTCTTTCTCTTGTATCAGTGTGAGAAATGCATGGAAGGACAGAATATATCCCCTTGCAGGAAAGGTTCTAGTCATTGTGCCGAGAGAGGAGTATATTTTCAGAAGCAGATACCAACTTGTATATTTTTGTTACCTCAAATAAGCTGCATTGCTATGCGAACAGTTCATTTTTTAAAAAACTTGGTATTGTTTCTACTTCATTCTTTACTAGTGCTCTTTTCTCTCAGTATCTGATTCGTTTACACTCTATTGCATGCTTATTCTCTTCTTTCCCTGTACTGCTGCTAGTTTAGAGCAAGAAAGCAATCCTGTGGTCCATAGGAGAGCGTCTCGGGAAATTCTGCAAAGGTTGCAGACGGCCCTCCAGCTTCAGAAAGGGGAGTTAAAGATCTGACCCCAGACTCCTCAGCCTTGCAGTCAGCATGGAAATAAATTAACTGAGGAGGAGGAGGAGAAAAGAGGGTATTAATTATACTCACCCTCCTCCAGCAACTTCCTCCCCCTCTGAAGCAGCCTTGCTAGATGACTGAAAAGATTGTCTTGTGAAAGTACAGAAGATTGGGGAAAGAGAAAGGTGAAAATAGTCTCTGCCATTCCTCCTCTACAGGGATCCCAGAAGTCCCTGAAGTGAATCCAGACCATAGGATTGGGCCCTAAGCCGGAGAGGGGCAACTTTGCCCTCCAGATCTTTTGGGTTGCAGCAGTTGTAATCTCTCACCATTGGCTATGCTGATGGGAGCTGTAGGACAAAACATCTGGAGTGCCGTATGTTGTCTTCTCCTGGTCTAAACCAACCTTTCCCAGTGTGTGTTCCACCAAGTGTTTTCTATTGCATCTTTGAGTCTCCTACCTGGGACTGATGGAAGCTTAAGGCTAAAATATCTAGAGGGACCAACTCCTTTCAGCTCCAGCCAGGAAGGCCAATGGGCAGGTGTGGTGGGGGCTGTATCCACACTGAGGAAGAAAGTACTAAGCTCCCATTCTTTGTACTGTCTACACTCCATTGTGAATAAGCCTTGGACTCCCTTTGGGGAGGAAGGTCATTCAAATACCTAGTTTCTTCTCCTTGGAGAAGTAAACACCCCATGCCTCCTCTCAGGCATGAAAGCATGTAACAGCTGATTGCTTTTTCACATGCCATTTTATATACAAGCCCAGTGAGAGTTGGATTGAGTGTATTAGGCCATGGCCTCATTTTCCTTGATGTTGTTCTTCCATGGAAGAGGGTCCGAGCAGTGAGTAAATGGGTTCAGAACTGCTTCTAAAGGATTTGAATGCAATGCTTGTGTCAGAGGCAGACTTTTCAACTGTTGTAATATTCATCACTTTTTTCTTGTTTCATCTTGGAAAAGCTACACATTTTCTGCTGCAGGGCTGAAGCTAATTTCAAATTGGAGGATGCTGCTGTAATTGGTGTATGTATTCTTCTTAATGTGTGTGTGTGTATATGTTTTCCAGACAAACTGCTTTTGGCTGACTCAGTTATAAATAAAGTTACAGAGAAGTCCAGGCAAAGAGAAGCAGAAATGTAAGTAATGTGAATATAGTATGATAAATGTCTTACAGAAATGTTCCTTTGGTTGTTTGGATTGATACGGGGTTGTGTTCTATCAAAGCCAACTTTTGGGTAACATTATAAATAAAATAAAAGGAGAATTTTTTCTATTGTAATATGTGTGCAGCATTCACACCACTGTACGATGTTCACTAGGAAGTCAGCTGTAGTAAATTCAATGAGATTTGCTTCCATGTAGGTGTGTTTAGGATTGTAGCTACAGTTCTTTAAATGCTTGATTTTATCAGGTCACCCTATCACCAAGTAGCATTGCTGTTTAAATATATCCTTAGCACCTGGATGTTACAAAGAGCCTTCTTTTACTCCTGATAGCATGCAAATAAGAAGTTAGGTGCACTTACCCTCATTTAGCAGAAAGAAGGAGACCCCAGAAATATGCAAGTAGCCTTCCTCTGTGTCTGATTACTGATGTAATCAGGTACCTGTCACTGCCTGTGAATACATTGTCATACCTATGTGACCATTCGGATAGGGATTAGCACCCAGAACAGGGACACAGAAACCCTGTTCTTACACATTCAACACTCCTGGCCTTAGTTGGAAAGCTTTTATGTCAATGGCCATAGATACACATTTCCTCTTTGATTTAGGGAAGCTGCCTCAGATAGCCAAACAGAGACATCTTTTTCAGTCTTGGTCAGTTCAACATTGTATCCTATCCCCTCGATTGGGGTCCCAGTACATGTTTTGCTCCCCCCCTTTTTTTTGGCATTAAGAACCACTTTCCCCAGTCTTTTCCATGGCATTAACCAGAGAGCTATCCAAGCTTTATTTTCATATTTCTGTAATAAGCAAGCTATTTGATTATTCTAAGCTCTAGCACTTGACTCATTGCTAATTGCCAATTTTGTGAGGCAAGTTTCATGCCTGTTATTTTCCCCAAACTGGTACTTTCCAACTGGGTTAGACTGCAGTTCCCAAAATTTCATGCTAGCTGGAAATGATGGGAAATACAGTTCAGCTCATGTTGGGAAAGCCTGCTTTGGGATAAAGAGCCAAATCAGTGTTAGGATATACACATCTATAGATGCACAACTTATATATGAAGACAGGCAATGCAATCCATAATTAACTGAGCTGTTAAAAACATTTTTAATATAATTGTAGATAGTAGGTAGTATTGTAGATAGAATTTGTAGATAGTACACTATGTGAGATTCATTTTATCTTCTCTCATATACAAGAAAGTTACTCTTGTAAGGTAACATCTGCTGCAATACATAGTCAGCAACTAGGAATTATACTTTCTTCCCTTAAAATTATTATAAATATATAAACATAGGCTAGCGAAGATTTCTTTTTCAGATAACAGTCCTAATTTTTGTAGAATTGGAGATCTGAGTAGACATTTTCTCTTGATGAGCTGTTAAAGAATATTTTCATTCAAAATGCAACTGAACAGCCATCTAAGCAACTGGACAACCATCTAAGAGGAATGGTTTAACTGCACTGAGAAGGGTTGGACCCAATGGCCCTTTCTGACTATACTATTCTGTGATTCTGAAGAACGTTAATGTTTTGGTTGTCTTTTGTACATTAATTCTAAACTGGTGGTCCTAAACAAATATTTTAGTTGGAGGAATATTTTTGGAGTTTTTTGGTCTACTGATTGTATTCTCAACTTTTCTTTCATAAGTTTTAATATATTTGTATAATCTTGAAATTTAATAGAGTGTATCATTTTTTAATTTTAACTAAGGTACCGAGTAAAAGATAAATCAGACAGAGCAACTGTGGAACAAGTAAGTCACATAAATCATTGAAGTTAATTGCAGGGATCCTAATGCTTACGAGAATGGGAAGTCCTCAGTTTTTGTTTTGTTTTTAAGCTGACCCATACAATGATTCTCAACCAACTGCCTTCCAAGTATTTTGGGCTAAAACTTGCATCATCCTGACTATTGACAAGGTTGCCTAGGGATAATGCATGTCTCAGTCTAAAAGATCTGGAAGGCTCTAAATTGGGGGAAGCTGATTTACTCCCTACTATGAGATCCACTGATCCCGCCCACATAAAGATTCCCAGTGTGGTGCCCAATGGCATTTTTTCCAGTTTTGAACATGCATACGTGGATTTGTATGAATGGAATTTCAACTTTCTAGCCATGATGCGTAGACTTCAACAAAAGCAGACCTAATATCCATGTATCCATTTGAAGTTGGCATCTACAGTGGTACCTCGGCTCACGAATGCCTCAGTTCACGACCAAATCAGGTCACGAACAGAAATTTCAGAAAAAATTTTCCTCAGTTCGCAAACTCCACATTTGGTGGCAACCATGATCACGGCCATGTTGCTGCACAAACACGATCACACCCATCTTTCCTGCATGAGTGCGATCGTGATCACGTCCGTCCCCCCCCCCCCGAGCATGATTGTGCCCATCTCCCCCGCCCCAAGCATGATTGCTACTGCACGATTTTCGTTTGGACTCTCCCTCCAAACAATAACCTCCCCCCTCACCTAGTTTAGTATTCTCTACTGTACTTTGTTGTTCTTTGTTACTTTGTTCCAAATTTCTGTGATTAAAAATATTTACAGAATGAATTAACCTTATTTACATTGAACCTTATGGGGAAATTTGACTTGGCTCACGACCAATGCAGGTCGCAACCAGAGTCATGGAACAGATTAAGTTTGTGAGCCGAGGTACCACTGTATATGGCACCTGTGCATTTATCAAAAGCATTGTAAGGTCCTCAGTGCATGGTATCATCTATGAGTGCTTATGCTTCCAATTTTTAACATCAGTCTTTTAGCTGTCAGAAGGGTCCAGAGAATCCATTTTGTCTTTGATTGGTTAATTTCCATGAGGCAGTGAATATTAATAACTGTTCAAGTATAAGATTTATCTGAAACTCTCAGTGGTGGACTAGAAAGTAAAGCTTCAGATGTCAGACTTGAGGCTTAGACAGTTTTATAAGGATGCAACCCATCTTTTCCAAGCCAAAACCATTCACTAGAATGCAGGTCAAAGTTTTCCATAGAACTTAATGTGTGGAATGGAACAAACTCTGCAGAATAAATTAGTGGTTCAGCTTACAGAGCTTTACATTGAGTTTTAAGTTTGGCAATTCCTCTTACAGCATCTCTGAGTACTGAAATTTTGCTGTGGTCTTTTTTTGTCATCCTTAGGTTCTGGATCCAAGAACTCGAATGATCCTTTTCAAGATGCTAACAAGAGGTGTCATATCAGAGATCAATGGCTGCATCAGCACCGGAAAAGAGGTTGGCATCCCTGTCCAAAAAAAAGAAGGGGGGGGGGCAAAACCTTTGATCTGTCAGAACAGAGATTTCTGACAGCTAGCTGTCAAATCTCCTTTTCCACCAAAAAGAGAGTGGGTTACACTTTTTAACTTTCCTGAACAGCTAGATTCTTGGGGAAAATCATTGACTGCCCTTCTAGTGAGCTGCTTTGGCTACTTGGAACAGGATGCCAATGACTGTCAAAATGGAGTTGGTGAAAAGCTGGTATCAAGCCGGGGGTAGCAGCCTCTTCGGGAAAAATAACCAAGGGACAAAAAAGAGACTTTGAGGCAGCTGGTGGGGACATGGGAGACCTTGACAAATGCAGCAATTGATAGAATTCCTTAATATATTCTTGTTTTCATTGTTTATAATTTGATAGGCGAATGTATATCATGCCAGTACTGCAAATGGAGAGAACAGAGCAATAAAGATTTATAAAACTTCTATTCTGATGTTTAAAGATCGGGATAAATATGTGAGTGGGGAATTCAGGTGAGTTTGAAGTTTCACACTTGCTTGTACAATCTTGCTGGGGTGTCTTGTGCAAAATAATTTCCATTCTGGATTTTATAATTCATTGTCCCTGTTTGTGTTTTCAAGGTTTCGCCATGGATACTGCAAAGGGAACCCAAGAAAAATGGTCAAGACGTGGGCAGAAAAAGAAATGAGGAATTTAACAAGGTGACCATTTTCTTCTTCCTTAGTCTTTGTTTCCTTCCCATAGGCCATGTTGTTGTTGTTGTTGTTGTTGTTATTATAACATTTCTATGCTGCCCCTTGACGAAGCCTCGGGGTGGCTTACCACACAATAAAATACATTGAAATACAATAGAACATAATAAATTACCATTAAATACAAAAATACAAAAAATACACTGAGTTACAAACATAATAATATAAAATTAAAATTATCAGTATAAAATAAGTAAATAAATAATATAGGAGGAGAAAAGAGAAGGAAGAAGAAGTTGCCCTGGCCAGATCATATATTTTAACAATTAAAATGATGTTTAAATAAAAAGGTCTTTACCTGGCGCCGAAAAACCAGTAACGACGGTGCCAGGCGGACCTCTTTGGGGAGTGAATTCCATAGGTTGGGCGCCACCGCAGAGAAAGCCCTCCTCCGAGTACTTACTCTCCTAATTTCTTTCATGGAGGGTTCCCGGAGAAGGGACTCTCCTGCAGATCTCAAAGGGCAGTCGGGCATATACGGACGTAAGCGCTCGTTCAGGTAGCCAGGACCCAAGCCGTTTAGGGCTTTATAGGTCGTAATCAACACCTTGAATTGGGCCCGGGCTTCAATGGGAAGCCAGTGAAGCTGACAGAGGACTGGAGTCATGTGAGCATAACGCCCCGTCAGCAACCTGGCAGCTCTATTTTGCACCAATTGAAGTGTTCGGACTGTCTTCAGGGGAAGCCCCACATAAAGCGCGTTACAGAAGTCTAGGTGGGAAGTCACCAGCGCGTGTGTCACCGTCGCCAGGCAGTCGTACTCCAGGTAGGGGCGCAGCTGATTAATCAGCCAAAGCTGAAGGAAGGCAGTCCTCGCCACCGCTGTCACCTGAGCTTCCAAAGAAAGCTCCGGGTCGAGGAGTACTCCTAAGCTGCGGACCTTATCCCTAAGAGGGAGTGTTGCACCATTCAGGACCAGGTCAAATCCACCCTCTCTGAAGCCCGATCCGCCAACCAACAGGACCTCCATCTTGTCTGGGCTGAGTTTCAGTTTATTGGCCCTCATCCATTCCATTACCTCGGCCAAGCACCGGTTCAGCACAGCCACTGCCTCACCTGGATTAGTGGAAAACGAGAGGTAGAGCTGGGTATCATCAGCGTATTGATGATTCTGCAGCCCACACCTCCTGATGACCTCTCCCAGCAGTTTCATATAGATGTTAAATAGCAGAGGGGATAGAATGGAGCCCTGTGGTACTCCATGGCATAGCTGCCATGGCGCAGAGCCATAGTCCCCCAGCACTACCTTTTGGAATCGACCGTTGAGATAGGAGCGGAACCACTGCAAAGCAGTGCCTCCAACCCCCAATCCCGCTAGCCTATCCAGAAGGATACCATGGTCGATGGTATCGAAAGCCGCCGAGAGGTCCAGAAGAACCAACAGAGATGCACTCCCCCTGTCCTTCTCCCTGCACAGGTCATCGTACAGGGCGACCAAGGCAGATTCATTACTGTATCCGGGTCTGAAGCCGGACTGAAAAGGATCCAGATAATCAGTTTCATCCAAGAGTGCTTGGAGTTGTCCCGCCACCACTCGCTCCAACACCTTGCCCAGAAACGGGATGTTGGCCACAGGTCTATAGTTAGTGGCCATCTCTGGATCCAGTGACGCTTTCTTCAGGACCGGTCGGACTACCGCCTCCTTTAAAGGGGCAGGCACCTGACCCTCCCTCAGGGAAGCGTTAACCACTTCCAAGATCCAGGTCCCAATCCCATGCTTGGAGTTATTTATTAACCAAGATGGGCAAGGATCCAATAGGCAAGTGGTGGGACGTACTCGTCCAAGCACCTTGTCCACATCATCGGGCTGCAATAATTGAAATTCCTCCAATAATTTTGGACCAGATGGTAGCATTGGCGTCTCCCCAGAGACCTCTGATTCATTAGTGGAGTCCAGCTCGTGACGAATCTGAGCGATTTTCTCCCTGAAATGCCTGGCAAAATCGTCACAGCGGGCCTTTGAGGGTGGCATCGGATCTTCCTTAGGACCCGGGTGAACCAGGCCTTGTACCACTCGAAAAAGCTCCGCCAGACGGCATAGTGAGGAGGCAATGGAAGCGGAAAAAAACTTCTTTTTCGCCGCCTTCACCGCCACAGCATAGGCCTGATAGTGGGCTCTCAAGTGTGTTCGGTCAGATTCATCCCATGATTTCCTCCACCTACGCTCTAGTTGTCTCCCAACCCGCTTCATCGCCCGCAATTCAGGTGTATGCCAAGGGGAAGAGCGGACTCTGCCCGGTGGGAGAGGACGCTTGGGAGCGATCGTGTCCACAGCCCTGGTCATCTCCCCATTCCATACTTCGACCAGAGCCTGGACAGGAGCACCAGTCTTGTCAGCCGGAAACTCCCCCAGGGCCTTCAGGAATCCATCCGGATCCATCTGGCTCCGAGGGCGGGCCCATACAATCAGGTCCGCACTCTTATAGAGGGAGAGGCCACTCTCGAGCACAAACCTCACCAGGAGGTGATCTGACCATGACAGGGGAGTCAAACATAAGTTCCTCACCCTCAGGTCATCCTCTTCCTGCCCCGTCGAGAAAACCAGGTCCAGAGTGTGTCCACGTTCATGGGTCGGGCCGATGACGTGTTGAGACAGGCCCATGGCCATCATAGAGGCCATGAAGTCCTGAGCCGCCCCGGTCAGTCCAGACTCGGCATGGAGATTGAAGTCCCCCAGGACCAACATCCTGGTGGTCCTCAGCACCAGGTCCGAGATGGTCTCTGTCAGCTCAGATAGGGAGACTGCTGGGCAGAAGGGTGCACGGTACACCAATAGAATCCCCAATCTGTCTCGTTCGCCCAACACCAAGTAGAGGCACTCTAGCCCTGGTCTCGAAGGGACCGGAAAACCCGTGAGAGAGATGGAGGCTTGGTAAACCAATGCGACTCCCCCTCCCCTCCCTTCTGGGCGTGAACAGTGTTGAACCAGATACCCGGGCGGGCACAATTGGGAGAGGGCAACATCCCCTCCCTCCCGCCCAGGTCTCCGTTATGCAAGCCAGGTTGGCCCCCTCATCCACAATCAAGTCATGGATGAGGGAAGATTTATTATTGACCGACCTGGCATTGAGCAGCAGCACCGTAAGGCCCGAGGGGTGGTTGACAAGGCTACCTGGCGCCCTCTGGTTGGGGGCAGAACCAGAAGGAGGGATAGGTGTCAGCCATCTGTCCATCCTTCTTCTACGTGGACACGTTAGGTCCCTATTGCTGTAACGACCATTGCCCGTGACCACGCCGATAGCAGCGCCCGTGTGTTCCCCAGGATATATAAACGTCGACATGGCCAGGGATGACTCAAAGCACTGATTAAAGCAGGGTAAAATTATAAAGCAGTTCGATAGAGGAGAAAAAAGAACGATAAAGAAAAAATAAAAGGAGAAAAAAAATTCCTTCCCCTTCCCTAAGATTCAGTGGTAGGCAAGCCTATTTCAACAAGAGTCCTTGGCCAGCCCAGCCCCCCTCTCGTCCCCCGAACGGCTCCCAAACGGCGGCGACCCCTTTGGCCGCCAGCCCAAGGCCGCCAGCCCTGGCCGCTGCTTTGTGGCCACAGGGCGCCTCCGAGTCCCGCCCCGTCACACACCACGCACGCCCGATCACCTGGGCCGGCGGGCAGCGTGCTCCGGTGCCGCGTGCGTCTGCGCTGGCCGCTGGAGCTGGCTTCTGTCGTAATGAGCCTGAGGGAATCCTTTGATTGCAGGATTGGAACAGGCCAGAAATCCACCAATTCTTTTCCCATACCACACATCCAGCCCAGGATTCTCCATATGTGGGTTCCTGTTCTTTGGCTCATTTTTGAGGCTCGCTGGTAGTATACCTGCTTGACGAGTGGAAGGTTACAGGTTCAATTTCCAGCATCTTCGAGGAGGTCTGGGAAAAATCATGCCTGAAACTCTGGAGAGCCACTCTCAGTATCAATAATGCTGGGGTTGATGGGCCAAGTGTCCAGCTCAGTACGAGGCAGCTGCCTATGTGCCTTTTCACAACAACTCAGTGTCCCTTTTCTAACAGATAAAAGGTACCTTTCTGCCATATGAAGGCTTGTTTTTCTTTTGTACACTTTTATTATCACTTACAAAAATGCAAATGTAAATTAAAATTAGATCATTTGAGAATCAGAATTCCTTTTTTTCTGTCTTTTTGAAATATTTTTGCCTTTTTTAAAACATCTGGAGTGCACCAGGTTGGGAAAGGATGGTGCGAAACAAGGCTTTGTGAGATTTAATTATCCTTGTTCTGAAATATATATTACAACTCTTTAAAAATCTTTAAGGAAAAGGAATGGCTTCTCCAGAAGTTCTTAAACTCTGTTCTTGATGTGTAATGTTTAAAAACTATAACACTGGATAATGGCAATGTTTTGTCTTTTTTATAGGCTACACACAGCGCAAATTCCATGCCCAGAACCTATTATGCTAAGAAGTCATGTTCTTGTTATGGGCTTCATTGGCAAAAATGATGTGTAAGTACTCAAACACTGTGTATTGCAAAGTAACCTTGTTTCAGTTTATTAGCTTCGCAGTCTTCTCAAAAGTACATCCCTTCGAATTCAGTGGAGGATGCAAGATTGCAGAGTAGATCCATGATTAAGTTTTTCGGAGCTTATCATTTCTTGGCTGATTTCACTAACGTTCACTAATGTTTAAAAAAAAAGCGTGCTCTCAGTTTTTAAACTCTAGTGATCTAATAGCACCTGGGTCATTGGAGTCATGTTTGTTGTGAGTCCTACTTAAAGCAGACCCATTGAAAATAATGGGGCAAGTTACATTCATTTTGGATGCAACCCTCTGCAGCTCACTTAAAAACCAGGGGTTACTTCCTGTATGACAGCTCAGGTCATCTGAATGGGACCCCATGGGGTCTTTCTTGAGTAGCAACCCACCGAATAAGTGGAGCATTCCTTGCAAGCCAAAGCACATCAGTTCCCATTGCATAGTTTGAGCACCTGACCTGAAGCAGACTGGCAAGGGAGGTAAATACCTTGCCACTGTAGCCAGATTCTGGCCGTTTTCTTACTCGCTATACTGAACCAGAGTTGGTAGATTAGTGAAGGATGAGTGTAACTGATGACAAAGACCTTTTATTCTGTGTTTCTTCTTTTCATCCAAGGCCTGCTCCTCTGTTGAAAAATGCACAGTTATCGGAGTCAAAAGCCCGGGAGTCATATCTCCAAGTCATACAATATATGAGAAGAATGTACCAGGATGCAAAGCTTGTCCATGCAGATCTCAGTGAATTTAATATGCTGTATGTTTTCTGAACTTGAATATCATTGCTATTTTTTTTTTTCATCATGTTGGAAAAAGCTGGGGAGTGCAGCTCTGCCCTTGAGGTAGGGTGTGGGTGTCCTGGCTTCACAGCTTGTGAATTGCAAGACTGTTCATGCCACACTTATCTAAGATCTCTTCCAGAATTAGCAGAGCTTCCAAAAACAACAAAGAGCATCATTTATCCTATAAAATGAGTAAATTCCAAATTTCTGTATTTTTTCCGAAAAGTGTTTTTGGGGTTCAATGACAGTTGGCTTAGACGTCTTACAACTAAAACTGTGTGCAGAATATCCAAATTGATCAAACATTGTTGCCATCCTGAAATGATGATAACGTTTAGCACATTTCAGGTGTCCCAAGTGCTCCATAGACATATACCTGGTTTGAGCATAATGGCAATACACCTGGTATGCACCCATGATTATTGACTCATGGGCTGTTGTTATATGCAGATTGATACCTATGGGTTGGCTATGAGCCTGTTCACTTGTCATGACAAGTTACCGTGGGTTAATTTGTCTGAGGGGTTGTCCCATTGTGCCTGAGGTTGTGAGGTTATGATTTCACATTTTTGCTTGTTATGGCAAAAATGGCAAAGTACCCAGTACAATATAAATTAATGGGTGGGCTACCATGTCATGTAAACAGATCTATGGGTTATTTCCATGGGTTGTTAACTGTGAGCAGCCCACAGAGAAAACCTATGCTTTGCTTCTGGATCGTGACTGTGTTTGACCATGGGTGAGGAATTGTGGGTTGTTCATGAGTTGTGAAACAGGAGAGGGAAGGCAAATGAGGAGAGCAACAAACAACCCAAAGACTGAGAAAACAAACTGCATTTTGCTTGATTGTCTGTCAGACAAACCTTGGATAGGGCAACAAACTATGGTTTAAAGAAGCCATGGGTTAGCATTATGTGCAAACCAGGCCTTTTTATCAGTCAACCTTAAAGCAACCCTGGTACCTTTTGGGTGTTTTGAATGACAGCTTTCACAACGGGTCATGCTAGTTGGGACTGCTTGGAGTTGTGGTTCAAAACACTAGGAAGATGGGGAAGGCCATTGATTCTGGTTTCAGATGAGTTTTTTTCAGCTTAACTGTTAGCTGCTGTACTGAAACAGCTTTCACATGAAAAGGTTAAAATAGTTGCTGTGTACAGCAGGAAGAGAGAATCTTTAGCTGATCTGTTCAAATTCTTAGAGGAATTACTGGACCTGCAGACTGTTTCAAAATTTTCCTAAAATTTAAATCCTTGTTCTGGGATCTTTCTAAGTCAGGTCAACATCCAGTTCACAGATTTCCCAATGAAATCAGCTTAAGAGCTCAAGGGACGACCTAACCCATTTGCTCCCCTTTGTTTGCAAATGGATCAAGGACTCATGTCATAGCAACATCATTTCGCAGAAATTACTTATAAAGCACTGAGGCCCTCTCTTCCTCCAGGAAACCCATAAGCACTTGTCCCTCTCAGTTTTCCCCTAATAGGAGAATACTCTTTTTAAAAGCTGCTTAATGCAGCCAGAGCATTTTAGAAATAGTAATAACTTGCAACACGAACAAAAAGCATGATTCTGCCTTTCGCTGTTCTCCAGGTACCACAGTGGGGAGGTGTACATCATCGATGTGTCCCAGTCTGTGGAACACGACCACCCACATGCTTTAGAATTCCTGAGGAAAGACTGCGCCAATATCAATGGTGAGTAGGAAGGAGATCCTTGTGACTGGCACAACACCGCATGCTGCCCCAGGCCAGGAGCATCTCTGATGGCTCCCCACCTCCCATTTGTTCAACACTTGAATCTTTTTTTATGTACAGTCTGCTCACAGAATTTATTTATCCCTGACAAATAAGATAGGAGACATTCATATACAGATCTGGTCATGGTAGCTCACCGGTATGCTATTTCAGTGGCCCTTGATGCTGGGAGTATTCCAGCAAACTGCGGGGGGAAACAATGCTGGCCACGTAACTGAAAATCATGTGTTTGTCCTGTTCGTTAGGTGGGTAATCATGTCCTGCCCCCAAACCTGACCCCCAAGGCAGTCAGTCACATGAATATCTTTTCCTTAAGTGCTGAAGGTAGTTCATTGTAACGTCTTATTTAAAAAGCAACGGATCCCTGCTAGGTTCTGTTGCAACCAGTAATAGGGTGCATACTAGTGATTGGTTTTGGCTTGGAAAAGATGGCCTGCATCCTTATAAAACTGTCTAAGCCTTAAATTTGGCATCTTAAGCTCTCCTTTTCAGGCCACCATTGAGAGCTTCAGGTTGGCAAGTACTCCCCATATGGTCCTTTCTTTGTTAGAATTTAGGAGAAACTTAAATATATTTTTACTCTGACATGCATTTAAATGATTTACAGAGCAATATTTAAGCAGCTAATCGTCTGCTGCTCTAGTTTTTATATAAATGTTTATGTTCTATGATATTTTGTGTTCTAAAGAATTGTTGCATGTACAATCTGAAAGGTGAGGGCATTTATCACCTTTATTTAAAGGTGAGGATGTGGTAAAAATAAGAAGAAAGCATGGCTTGAAGGAAAAACATGGACCAGTTAAGTTGCAGGCCAATTCTGCCCTATTTTGATATGTTACTTGCCTTCACATCTACCTGCTTTCTGCTGGCGGCATAGCGTGCAAGAAGTGCTGGCCAGATTTTACAGTGATTTTTTAAATGTGCTTGGAAGATGAGTTTTTCAGGAGAACTCTTTTAACTCTGTTCTTTTCTGTCATTGAATAATTGAGTTTGCAAGCCTTTAGCAGTTTGTGCAGGAGCCTAGAAGCACACAATGTTTGATGTCAGCAGTTTATTCATGCAGGCAACCTATGACAGTAATGGTTCTAGTGACTTAATGTCCTTCATTGATCCTTTCTGGCAGGTTTTTTCCAAAAATATAATGTTGCCGTAATGACAGTGAGAGAGCTTTTTGAGTTTGTCACCGATCCATCGATTACAAGTGAGAATATGGATGCTTACCTTGAAAAGGTAAGGTTTAGTAATTTGGTGGGGTGGGGACACTATTCATGAAGATAAACATTTTATTCAATTTTAGTTCTCTATTTAAAAAACCTTTTTAATTTGGCTTTTTAACATTACAGTTTTATATTATTTTGCTGTATTTTTATCCCAACAGTGTTCATGTTTTGAATCTTTTGTAAGCCACTTGGACTGATCTAGAAGGGCAGTGTGGAAATACTCTACACAGTATAAACACTAATGCATTCCTTTCAAGACTGCCTGCATCTTCCTATATGTATTATTTACATGTAGGCTGGTTCTGTGCTCAGCCAGCAGCAGGGCTGTGCTGCAGGCCTTACCCCATATGTAAGTCATACATCTGCCTCCCGGTATCCATGCCTCGGGCACAGTGGCTGAGTGCCTGTGTCTGAGCATGTGTACTGGTTCTTTGCAGACAGCTGCACTCAGCGAGCAGCTGTCAGGGCTGGTTTGGGAATGAGACATCAGGTGCAGGGGCCAGGAGGGATGCATCCCTCCTTCCTTACTTCAGTGCACAACTTCCTACATGTAAGTAATGTACAAATAGGCATATGGTACGTGCACTAAGAACTGGGTGCATTTTTGGTCTAGCGTGCTGCAAATCCCCCTTGCCTGCTTCGCTTTAATGCTGGATTCAGTCAGTCAGTGTGCTATTTGGAGCCTGATCGTGGGACACTTCAAGGGGCTTCATACAACATAAAGCACCATGTCCATCATGCAGTTGCTGCTTGTTGAGTTCCTGGCTCACCTTTCTCACAGCCACGTGGACCCTGAATGCTCCGAGATTAGGGTATTCAGGAGGAATGAAAGGAGCTGGAGTGAAAAGTTTTTTTGTTAAGAGACCTTGGCAGGTTTCCCAAATCACCTGTGGAAGAGGAAGTGCAATCCTTCTGAATTCCTCAGATGGAATGCCCTTTCCCCCAACTCCCAGCTCTTTGGTGGCTTCCTAGCTTTTGCAGATTTTTCTCCCATTCTGAAATGTTGAAATGCCTCTCCTAAAGCTGAGCTACTGAGAGTGAGACCTTTAAGCTAAAATATACCAGTATATTTGGCCTGGTCCTTTTGCTTTGGGTCCACGTGTCACTAGAATGTGCCCCTTGAGAGTTGCTCCAAAATGGAATTGAAAAGAGGTTCAGCACCCTGATGGATGCATCACTGAAAAAGACTCACGTAAGACACATACAGGAAAGTACAATCTGCTTGATTATTTTCTGATCCAAGGGCTGATATTCCTTGCATTATGCTCTGCAGGCCATGAAAATATCATCTGAGAGAACGGAGGAAGAAAGGTCCAATCAAGATAATGTGGATGAAGAGGTAGGACAAAAGATGGATGATTTTTTCCCCCTTCTGTACACATCATGTCTCCTCTGAAATAACCTAAAATGTTGCTCAGTGCTTCAAGAACACTCTTTAATGTCTTTATAATCAACTGTACACTGTCTAACATTGATGGTATGGCGGTTTTTGCAGTCTTTGGACAGTTAGCATAATTCATTTAATCTATCAGTCTTGCACCATTTAATCCTTCTGTCTTTTGTTTCAATATTAAAAGAACTGGAGGATACACTAGGACACCTTACAGGGAAATAAATATCGCTCCCAGAAAGCTCAGCCTCTAAGATGGCCTTGTGCCTAATATGCTTTTTTTAGTTCCAGCAAACATAATTTCCATTTGTGTTTGTAGAACTAGATTTTTTTAAAGGCAAGGATATGGACATTTCCTTTTATGTCCAAGTAGCTCCAGTTGTCCCAAATATGTACTCATGTGGGCAACATAATGTAGAGCAGAATAGAGACAGATAAAGCCAGTGGAGAAAATTGTGTCAGTGCGATCATATTAGTGACTACTGACTGAATCTAGGACTTCTGATTGATTCATAAGTTATGTTTCCCCATCAAAGTGCATACTTGATGATCATATGGATCTTATGTCTGAGATTTGTCCTGTTCTGTGGTAATACTACTACTTGTTGTAAGCTGCCCCGAGGCTTTGTTGCGATGGGGGTGGCATAAAAATGTTTCAAACAAACAAACAAACAAACAAACAAATAAATAAATGGTAACTAGTGTTAAAAAAGTAGGAGAAGACAGAACTGAAACCATATTGAGGAATTGACTGGATGCTTATGATTATTTTGCCTTCCTAGGTGTTCAAAAAAGCATATATCCCTAGAACTCTGACTGAAGTTAAGAACTATGAGAGAGATGTGGACATAATGATGAAACTGAAGGAAGATGATACAGCCTTAAACATGCAGCAGGATAATGTAAGGGTTTCTGAACTGAATATCCAGATTGGCATTTCCATGAATGGAACAGCTCTTTCCACTCACTGGGGGCACTAGGATCCAGCAGGAGAGTGGGGAAACCATTTCTGTCATTCTCCCAGCAGTGCCCTTAGTGTGGTTGTAGAAAGTTCCCCAGGTGCCCAGAGCAGCTTCCCAGGAGACACAGGAAGAAAGGAGGATTACAAGATATCTCCTCCCTACTCCTTTCATGTAGTGCAAGCAAAGCTCTGGGTCCAGCCCCACTCAGGATGAAGGCATCAGGCTAGTACTGAGGCTGTCTTCAAAAGGAAAGCTCTTGTCTTATATGCCACTGTTAAAGTACTGTAGTAATAGCCTGAATAGCCTTGGGAAAAATCAGAACTTGGGGGAACCTTGCTCTAAAAGTGATTCTCAACTTTCCCCAACTTTTTGGGTCAAAGGGCGCAGCTTGAGTTTGGCAGGTGGTGTGGGCACTCTCACAAAATGGCTGCCATAGGGAGAGGCCTGCCCATTCATAAAATGGCTATCATGGGGAACAACATTTTCTGGAAGGCAAACTGATGGGACTGGAAGAAAATTAGCTTGCCTGAGAAACCAAATACAAGACAAAGGTGCTGGGGTTTGAGCCCCAAAAGAAAACAAGCCCACTATTTTAAACTCAAGTAGAGATGACACTGAAGGGTAGCACCTCACTTTGCATCATGCCAGCCTCCCAGTTATTAAAGCAAGAACAAAAACCCACCTTCGATAAAATAAAAATCAGGAGGGGCAGCAAAAGACCAAAAGGAGGCATCCACAGGCACTATTTTGGAAATCCAGCTTGAAATATTTAAAATGTGCTATATAAATGTAACTATGTTTTATTGAGACTATTGGCTTTTTTTAACAGATTCTGTACCAGACTGTGACTGGGTTAAAGAAGGATTTGTCTGGTGTTCAGAAGGTGAGGCTGTTTTATGTGTTGAAGCTTTATTAAGCATTGCAGACTCCCCAGGATTAATATCATCTGGCATCCTGTGCTTTTGATATGTTGGAGGCATGTCTTCAGAGGGAAAGCTCTGCCTGGGAGCTCCTGGAGCCACCTAGTTGTACCTAGCAGCTTTGCTCCCTGTGCCACCACCAGCACATGTGCTCCTATCCAGATGTGGAATAACAAGCTTCTGTTGTCTGTCCCAGGTGCCTGCTCTCCTTGAAGGCAAAGAGGAGGCAGAAACAGATTCTGAAGATGATGGTGGGGATTCTGACAACACTGAACCAGGTTGCAAAGAACAGGAAGAATCTGTACATCCTAAAGATCAGCCTGCTGAAATGGATGTGAATAAAAAGGTTAGTCACTAAGCATACCATCCTATACAGGTTTAGGCAGGGAAAAGGCCTACAACTCCCAGTATACAGCAGCCAGCCATGGTTGTCTGGGTCCTCCTGGGATTTGTAGGCCTTTTTTCCTGTCCAAACATGCATTAGATTGTTTGGTAGAGCACATACTTTGCCTGTAGAAGGTCCCAGGTTTGATTTTGAGGTATAGCTGTGAAAGACTTCACCCTAAAACCTGAAAAATGGCTGCCAGTAAGTGTGGTGACAGCAGCAATCTGGTTTGATAGAAGGCAGCTTCTCCTGCCACCATTTAAAGCTACCTTTCCCCCTGTCTGTCTTTATTGGGGGTATTTCTAACTTGTCAATTACATCTCTGGACAGCTTACAATATAAAACAACCTAATAAATACATCATAGTAACATACGACTGAGGATAAAAATATAATTAAAATATTTAAACTTTAAAATATCGGGTAAATAAAAAGGTCTTGACCTGGCGCTGAAAAGCATATAACGACGGTGCCAGGCGAATCTCTCTGGGGAGTGCATTCCATAGCCGGGGTGCCACCCTAGTGTATAGCGCAGATCCTAAGGATGTAAAATGCTTTGTTTCCATATGTTATCTCAGTAGTGCTTACAGTAATAAAAGAGGCCAGCTTTTAAACGGAGGAGCTGAAAGACTGGGTTGCTGAGGTAAGTTTTTGGCTCAGCCAAGCTTATAACTTGCCATTGCTGAACCTAGCCCGCCGACCCACTTTATACAAATTTACTTTTATATGGCATATGCTGCTGTCTGCAAGGAGTGTGCTTGTCCTAAGTGGAAGAACTAGGAGTCTCAATGCTGTGTTCCTTAAATAGTGGGGTAAACATCATATTAATGTATGCTTTATTTTTATTTATTGTATTGTGATATTTTGTTTATTGTATTTTAATTGTATTATTTTATTAATGTTATTTGCTGATTTTATATTGTAATGGCTGCCCAGAGAGCATGTTGCTAATGGACAGCTTTTAAGCAAATTTAATACATAAATAACATAGCCTATCTATCCTTGAGGCAAGGCCTGACATTTTTATGGCTCTAAAACACTACATAAATCGATGGCACTGTGGAAATAAAAGTGTAATATGTAATGGCTTTTGCTGCTATTTCATAACATATGGAAGCATAACATCAGTTTTTCCTTCCCGTTTCCAGGAAAGGAAGAAGATGACCAAAGAGGCTCAGAGGGAGAAGAGAAAACACAAGATCCCAAAGCATGTGAAGAAACGAAGAGAGAAGACTGCAAAGATGAAAAAGGGCAAATAAGTCATGGTTGCCATTCTGGGGGGCACCGTTAGACATTCATGACTTAAGGGTCACTGTTTTGGTACCAAATAACTCCCCACACCCTTCATCTTGGCAAATATCAGAAGACTGTTGGGTCAGGATTCATTGTCACCAGTGGCAGAAACTGGCTTCTTTACTCTTCCCTACCCATACATACAGGCACTGGCTCTTCTTGGTGAGAAATGACACTTGGGGAACTTTGTAGGGCACTTGGCCTGTCCAGAGAAAGTTACGCAACTTACAGTTCTACATTTTAGTAGTGTGAGCATATGTAGCAATGCTGTATTGTGCACACCAAGTTCTTCATTGTTTATGTTCAAAAATTACATGTGCAGATGGACGTACATATGTAAATAATCCTATGTATGGGGCAGGATATACATATTCCCATTTATATCTGCTGTCTTGAAGTGCTGCAGGTTGTCTGATTGCACATCTTTTCAAGGGCCAATACTTTTTGTGGAAAGGGAAGCAACTAAGGACATTCTACAGGACCTTCATGTCCTACGCATCGTGAAGGACCTTCATGTTCTGCGTATCTATCACAGCCTGCAGCTTGATGGTGAGCTGGAGCTGGTGGGGAATGCCTGTGTCCAGAAGCCAACCTTGCCAGGTTGATGACCTTCCTCACACTAGGAATGCTCAGCTTTGTGCTGGTCTAGAAGATGGGCTCGGATGTGGAAAAGCAGAACAGCAATCCTCATGTTACCCCATTGCTGTTGTTTATCAGCCGGTGAAGGGCTCTATGGGGTCTAGTCTTCCAGTGTCGGAGTCCACCTCTTGCCACCTGATGGAAGAGTAGCAACAGAACTCTGCCACCTGGGTAGCTGTTTCACCATTCACCCCCATCGGTGGCTTTGATTTCTCCATTGGTATATGTGTATATAGCGATTCTTGTTTCTGTGAGCAAGAAGACACTCTGGTGACAATTACAACATCTTTTTGTTCCTTCTGTTTCATTTTGTTCCTTTTTGCTACTTGTTTTACCTGGTAGAACTTGAACCATGGCTATTTCTATTTTGAAGGAGAAGGGACACTTAAAAAACCTGAGGATGTGACTTGTCAGAGCAGTAACTCCCATTAAGTCGGGTATGTCTCTGCAAGTGTTACCTTTAAAAAAAAACAAAAAAAGGTAAGATCAACTTCTGAGTAAACATTACTGTCTTGATTTGGAACATGCTTCTACCAATGTTACTCTAAATCTAGTGAGCTGTTTTTGGTCTAAGCAAAAAGTAGCTACGTGGTGCCTTTATTAGGCTCAGTCTTTTAAGGAGAAGCAATCTTCTGACAGCTGTGCCAGATAATGTATGTACATTACCAGTGGTGCTCTTCCGTTTTTAGAGAAAACTGAACACATTCTGCATTATACTGTGTAGATTTAAAAAACAAACCAAATTTGCCAGTCACTAGAACACAACATCATCACATTAGATTGTGGATTCCAATCACTTATACAGAATTGCAGGAGTCAACTCCAGTCCTGTATCTATTTCCTTGGATATAAGCTCTACCAATCTTTTTATTGAACTCATTTAGGTTTGCACTGTGTTGATTTTTCTTTAAAAATGAATTTCTAGCCCTCTGGGTTTTACTGGAATAATAGCATAGCTGTAATGTCAGTCTAATGTCAGTAGTTTAAAAAAATGGCATTGCAAAAGGTCTGAGTCTGACAATAATTAGACCTAGAATACCTTTAAATAATAGCTTCAAAACAAATGCAATAAAATAAAATAATGCCAGCATAGTCCAGCTAGTCCTTTTGGACTAGACTGCCAGTTACACCAAAACAGTTGTAGTATGTTTAATAAGAATATTCTGAACTAAAAATTGTATTACAACTTGCCCTTTCAAGCATATTTGGTGTGGTTTTTGGAAGAGGTACCAGATTTGTAGATGTGTAAATTCGCATCACTCAATAAAAGATCCCTACTGAAGTTAATTTTGCATTCTAATATAAAACATTACATTAGAAAAGGATCACTAGCCTTCATGGGCAAAGCTTATTTTACTGGCTAAAATCTTCCAAACAAGAAATCTAGCATTCTTGTTAGACTAATTTGCAAGCATAGCTGTTCATAATGCTCAAGTCTGTAGTTGCCAAACTGTGAACCTGGGATTAATTGAGCATTACTGGTTGGACCCAGTAACTGCTTCCATGAGAGGAGGGCTTCATTTCTATATGATTCTTCTGTCTGATTCTTGAGGAACCCCATCTTCCCAAATACCTGAATGTATTCCATTCCGCAGGGTCTCCGGAATCTCCGTGGCGGTTTCTATGGGCTGGAGGAGAGTGTTTTGGGAAGAAGGGTGTAGGAACTCCCTTTTGGATTCAGTAGGTCTAGCCTAATTTTCTCACCCTAAGGAACTGGAAAATAAAGGGCGGCAAGAGCTCACTAGGGCTGTAAATAGGGGGAAACATGGACTAGGCATCACAGAGAGTAGCAGGTAATTTTGCCAAATGAAGGAAGCTGACCTTAAAGGTACTTGGGTACCATTGCAGAACTTCCAAGGACTGAATGCCCAGTTACAATATTTATGTCCTCTAGAGGGAGCTACAGCTTCATCCTTGTAGCTCCTATGCCTCAAAAGTTCTTAATAGGACAGTTTCAGATTGTGCTTTGAAGTTAAGAGATACATGGGGGAGAGATTGTAACTACTTTAATGCAAACAACTCAAGGAATTGATCATTCTAGTGTAGTTACTCTAACGCAGGCCTGCAACTTTTTGGATGGTGAGTGCATTTGGAAATTTGCAAAGTTGTGGGCACCATCACAAAATGGCTGCCATGGAGGATGTGATTAATCACGTAAGGCATGGGTCTTCAAACTATGAAGCCACAGAGGTTTTGGACTCTCCGTGCCTGCCTCCTCCGTGGGGAAGTGGCAGCTTGCTCACACGGAGATTGTTCTGGAATCGCTCGGAGAAATCGATCTCCAAGCGAGCAAGCCGCTACCTCGTGTGCCCCCCGCACCTCGCCTCCTCTCGCTCCTCGCCCCGCCCTCGCCCCACCCATGAGCCCTGCCCTTGCCTCACCGGCCCGCGCACCACCCCTGCCCCTTCACCGGCCCACCTGTGTCGCTGGCACCACCTTTCCAACTGCACCCCCCACTGGCACCTTTCAACTGGCCCCCTGTTGAAAAAGTTTGAGGAGCCCTGATGTAAGGTAATGGTTGCTGTGGGGACCTGGCTAGTCAGGCATGTGGGGAGATAAATATGGCATCCATAGTTTGGGAGGGAGAGGGAACTATCAAGATAAAAGGGGTGCATTGGAGAGAAATAGAGCTAGGAATGGACGGAAAGAAGGCAAGGGACAGGAAAGAATGTGGAAGAGGTTGGGAAGACAGAAACAGCAAGGCTATTGATCCAGCTAACCTTGGAAAAATAGACCACCATTAGCAAGCTGAAGTAAACTTTAGAATTGGATCAAATATCTCGATACAGAAAACCAAAATAGCATTTAATTCTTAAAGTTTCAGCTACAATTCATTCCACATATACAATAGCTGCCTTCTTTTCTGTCCTTGGTGGACCCAGGAATTGCTTCCCAAAGCTACAAGCTCTGCAGAGATACTGTGGTTCCTCTTAAGCAAGTGTGTGTACAAATGTTAAGTGGGAAAGCAACCAGCTAGAGGCTCTGGCTGCAATGCTTCCAATGGAACCTTCAGCTGTTTTGTCTTCCACACCTCACATGTGCAAGTTTGTATTTATTTGTGTATTTATTAACTTCCCCCAGCACCCTGTCATTTTTGTTTGGCAAAACAAAGCCTCAACCATTGAAAGACTCTCAGAAGTGCCATGATCTGGCAGCTAACTTGAGAGATTGCGAAAATGAGGCAGAAGAAGGCTGGGCAAAAAATTAGTTATTTGTTGGCATGAGAACCTGTTATTGCTCCAGGGCTGCCATAGCTTGGGCTTTGTACTTGTTGGTGCAGCTTGCTTCTTCCATGCATCTTTGTATATATGATGAACATCTGCTTACTCTGCTTTGTTTTCTCCCTCCTTGTGTTTTCTCCCCTGCTTCCCTGGCTTTGTGAAAAGGGATGGTTTTAGGATGTGCTGAAGTTTGCAGTTTACCTAAGTATGAGGAAGAATGCAGATAGATGCATAACAACATGGGTCCGTCTTTCCTGACAATGCCTTTCCTTGTTCTCAGAAGGAATTCAGAATTAATGGAGATGATCAACTTTTTTCTGTCACAGACGGCCTGTCCTCAGGGGAATCTGTTAAGGATTGCATCCTCTGAGTTGAGAGTCTCTCTCCCCAAAATACTGATATAGGGAGATGGGTTGTCAGTCATTTTCTGGTCTTTAATAGTTGTGTGGCAGGTGGACTTTTCCCCTCGCTTCATTTCTATGGCTTTCCTGCCCACAATGAATGTTGTACAGTATTTTCTGCCAGGTTGTGATTTCGATCTGCTACTGTGCACAGGAGCCCTGCCTCACCTTTATGACCTTTTTCTTAACATCAGTCTTGCTAAGCATAATATAAAATCTTTGTTTTGTGGTGATATATGTGTGTCATTTAGTAGCTGTCTTTTGTATGACTGTTGCACTTTTCATAGTAGTCTGCTTCATAGAAACAAGCACTTTTTGTTAGACTGCTGTGGAACCTGAAGGAGTAGACCAAGTACAAAGGAGGAAAAGGCAGGATTTTGGCTGCAATTGTAGATGCAATTTTCTGGGAGTAACTCTCACTGAACTCAATGGGACATGCAAAGTGTTGGGCCATTCTTTTGTTTTGCTTTAAGAAAGTGTAGCTTGCTTTTATTTCTGATTGAAATCCTTTCCAGAGAATACTCTGGGAAAACTTGTGAGTGTCTAAACCAGGGGTCAGCAACCCGCGGCTCCGGAGCGCAAATGGCTCTTGAACCCCTGCTGCAGCTCCTTCGCTCAAAACATGTGCCGGCCCAGCTGCTGATCCACAGCAGTAGCTAGTTAGGCAAATCAGCTGGTTAAGTAAATCGCTACATTCCTCTGCTAAACAAGCTTCCTGCGGGGTCTCATGTTACTCAAACCCTGCTGAAAAGATTCTCTTTGTCCAGATGTAATCTCCTTCATCTGAATGTTAACAGCTGCACTTGGGACCTGTCACAATTCACAGCACTTGACTGTTTATCTGCTAATCAGTCACTAAACACACCTATATCTCTGGCACAGCCAATCTGGGACCCTGGGACCTGAGCCCATTTACTGAGCTCCCCCCCCCCCCGTACCCCCCCTAGGCCAACCATGGATAAATTGAAAAGTTTCTGAAGAAAACCCAGCGTTTAGAGCATTTAATGGTGCATGGGTAGATTCATTTGCTTTTACTGCTGACAAACTTACGGGGTTTGCTGTTTAATACATGCAGCCCTTTAGCACTGACTTTGACTCTGCAGAAAGCTGTTCTATTCAAAATGTAGGAAAGGAGTCCTACTAGTTTATAATGTAAGATTAAAAATAACAGTTTTTAGTGACTGAACAAGAGCTGCAGCTAAATCATAATGAAGATATACATAGCATTAAGGTAAAAAACGATATATGCAGTGTTATCTTCATTTTAGATGTCAAAGGGGTTTTGCGGCTCCGGGTGTTTTCTTTTGTGTGGGAAATGGGTCCAAATCGCTCTTTGAGTGTTAAAGGTTGCCGACCCCTGATCTAAACTGTTCCTTCCATGTGAGAAACTGAAGAATCATCACATTCCTCAGGTGAGAGAGGAAGCTGGCCCTGAATCAGAGGATTTAGATCTCATTACAGTCTTGTCTGGACTAGCAGACATAGCTGCAGAGATAGTAAGATATGTTCCTCCTTCGTTTTGTTTCACGGGATCTGCAAAAAGAAGGCACCCAGTTGAGAACTTGTGAAGAGGGATATTTGTCAGCTTTTTTTATTAAAAATACATAGTTTTAAAATTGATTTTCCATTTATGGCTATCCTAATGTGGGAATGACAGAAAGGTATGTAGGAAGA